AATTATTTAGTCTATAACTTTGATGTCAATGCAAACCAATTGACCTCTCCATCTTAATCTCCTTACATGTAAATGGATAGTATTAAATATAGTAATTAATTATCTTATATTAGTACGCCAATTAATAAAATTTAGGAATTATCAATGTCTTCTTTGTCATGGATGATGTATGGAGAGATTGTCAAATATTCTTTTTCGGGATTGCATGACGAAAGATACACGTGGAAAGGACGTACGTGGCATGACCATTTCTGCCAATGAAAAATATTAATAATCTCCCATTCCTCCTGAATCTCATTTTTTGTAAACCCTTATCTTCCTTTTATTTAATTTAGCATTATCCCACTTGGATACAATCAATCTAAATGATCGAATTCCTTAATCTAACTCATTGCATAGAAATATAAGTCTTTGGGTGATCTAAATTCATGTAATTTATTCTTTATTAATATTTTCTTTTGGTCAATCTTTGAATTGAATAATTAAAAACAAGTCCTTCCGTTTTTTCTCTTTTTTATTACTATATTGTTATATTACTCTTAATATATTAGTATTCTAATTAGTACTATATTAATTTAAATTTTAAATTTAATTACTATTAAATTACTATTATATTAATAATATATTATTATATTAATTATTAATATTATAATTTTAGTATTATATATATATATATAGATAATCTATTCTTTCTTTTTTTTCATTTGATCCGAAATTTTTTTTTATTTTCTCGTCCTGTCTCATTTTTTGTTAGTCTTTTGTAGTACTTCGATGTGACACGAGCATGCAAGGAGTTCTCAAAAATATATATATATATATATATTTTTAAAGGCTAGTAAAATCATTTATTTTGGCTTTTTGACCGTATATTGTAAGGTGGATCTCGAAAGATATGAAAAACCTCCCTCCAAGCCATGAGATATATATATATATATATATATTATGAAAGCATAAGATATATATGAAATCTATTTATAATAAGGAAATGATAGATCGAGTACAAGAAGGGAATAGATATTTGATATAAGAAAACTGAAATAAATTTTTTAAAAAATTATATTTTCGATGTCCAATCATTGATTTTTTTTCTTGTTTAAGTGCCTAACCTTTAATTTTTATTTTTTTCTATATATTCCAATGCCTAACTTTTGATTTTTTTTTCCTATTTAAGTGCTCACATCTATCTTAGATCATAAGGTACCGACGTGTTTGGAGTTAACTATTACGTGAGACTTTTTGACTCGTCATGTGACAGACTCTTGTCGAATACGTCAATAAAATTAAATTTTAGATAAAGTCGGACACCAAAATAAATAAAAAATTAAAACTTTGATAGCAAGTCATTAGAAATCAACGATTGAATATTAAAAAAAAAAAAAGTTGGGTACCAAAAACCCCAATCTCTCAAAACATTAATATCAAGATTCATTGTAGACGGCAAAAGTTGAACCTTATTTTATGATATGCATACGGGAAAAAAATTATCTTATAACAATGCAATTTTCACATTTCTGTATTTGTATACTCTCTTAATGCTCATTGACTCGGAGAAAACATTTTTCTTAACCTATTGTACGTATTGCATTGTTGCCACTAGTATGACCTCTTTGCATTTATCTCATGGCCCTACAGTATAAAATCATTGCAAATTTAATAACAAACAACAAATGTGAAATCAGTTTATAATTAATGTTTCACATTGTTCAAATGAAACAAAATTAATGGAACATGCTATAGATCATATTCACGGACCATGTTTGATATTTAATCAATAAATCAAACAAAATCAAACATTTTAGAGACCACTCATCTTCTGACATGTGGCAGCTCAACTTATAATATATATTACAATTTTGTTCGTCAAGAAATTGATCCCAAAATATCATACATTACCAAAAGATTATATTATCTTATATTTTGGATTCTATATACTAAACTTAGAGGACTGATTGTTGGTAGCTTCATATATATATATAATCCAAATTTAATTTTCAAAAAAAAAAAAAAAAAAGGATGTCAACAAAATGAGGCCATTTTACAAGTAATTATTTAGTCTAAAACTTTGATGTCAATGCAACCCAATTAACCTCTCCATCTTAATCTCCTTACATGTAAATGGATGGTATTAAATATAGTAATTAATTATCTTATATTAGTACGCCAATTAATAAAGTTTATGAATTATCAATGTCTTCTTTGTCATGGATGATGTATGGAGAGATTGTCAAATATTCTTTTTGGGGATTGCATGAAGAAAGATACACGTGGAAAGGACGTACGTGGCATGACCATTTCCACCAATGAAAAATATTAATTATCTCCCATTCCTCCTGCTTAGGGACCAAATCTAATGACAAATTAAACAACTGTTAGTTTTGGTCCTCTCCTGCTTTTTTGGCCACACATGCCATTGTATCTGTTTCCATGCAATGGAAATAAGATATCCTAATGCATTTCTTCAATTTTACCATTGCCCAAATCATAAGCTTAAAGACCTGCGGTTGACCTTCTTAATTTAATGTCTTTTATTTTTATTTTTATTTTAGGAATTTGAGTGATTGCTACATTAATATTAATAAAGCACAATAAAATTAATTAGAGTATGGTCACTTGAAAATTTTTGGTATGGTTTTTTTTTTCGTTCGTGATTTTTTCAAATAATATTTTTCTTTTTTTTTTTAATAGAAAATGTATAGATATTAAATTCCACTCCAATTATTCATATTGGATACATAGATACAAGTCTTTTTACTCTTTTCCCTTAATTTCCAATAAGTCTCTTTTTTTTTTTTTGATAAATTAAAGGTATATATTATTTATGAAGTAACGCTGATGTACAATACTAATTACCGGAAAGAAAAGATGTTGCCTCTGAAGATGGTTGGTTAATTTGTTCACATAATAATAATAATAATTATTATTATTATAAAATTGGAAGGATGGATAACAATAAGAGAGAATGATGGCAACATGAATAGATCTTTGCAGTCCACAGTGTTATTGCAAGCATTGTTTTGTTCTCCTATATATAGTTGTTGCATCATTAACGTAACAATTAACTTTGTTTTTTAGTATTTTGATTTCTTTATTTATGTTATTGTCCTACCGCTGGATCTCCGACATGCCCCCTAGAATCAAACAACTTATGCAGCATTGATGTTTCCTATACGTTGATCTTTTTATATTTGTTTGTTTATGGAGGAAAGCAACCTTTTTCTTTTTCTTTCTTTGTTGAGCCAAACCTTTGATGAAATATTCCTTATTGTTATCTCAAGTTTTAGAGCTAACCAGTTGGTCACCAAGTCAATGAACAAAAACAAACACTACTTGCCTTTAAGATGCGTGGCCCTTAATAAGTTATAGCTGATCATTAGCAATATTGACGACCTGTGTCTTAATTTGCTATCAGATTAAAAAAGGTCTTAATTCTTAGATCCTTTTGATTTTAAGTACTTAATCAATTAAAAGACACTTGCAAATACATAATCCAGTTAGTACGTAAACAAGTAAGCTTTCTAAGTTACTATCCAAAGGCTCCAATCTGAACAGTAACGTACGGTCGATACTATGGGGCAAAAAAAAAAACTTTTTCATAACTATCGAATTACTCTGAGTACATGGGAACCATTTATTTTAATTAAGACTCGATGGAAAAAATAACTTAACTTATGTAACATTTTTATGTTGTTGAATATTCAATTTTTTCAAGAAAAAAAAATCGCTCTTTACAATAATCGGAGGGGGAAGGGACTACTTAATTTCTATAATAATAAAAAGAATTAATACATTTAATCTAGATAGGATATGGTGATAGTATTTAGGATTAGGCGTATATAATTATAAGAGATGAAATTGCGTCGAACTTCCAAGCTTGCGAACAAATTAATGTGGAAACTTTGTACACGTCTGATACGTAGGACTTAGGTGATCATAGGTAAATATATTGGCTAATCTATTATTATACAATTGGCTGAGTTTTCAATCTATACATCCTTATATTTCTAGTTGTTTCTGTTATGTTTTTAAATGTTATTTCAATTTTTAATCTTTCTTTTTTATTAATTTTTCTGACCATGAATATTTTTTAATCGAAATGTCTCTAATTGAAGGGGAAAACCCCTTAAAATCATAAGATTTACATGTTCTATTTTTAATTTTTTTTTGTTTTTTTTTTACATTTTAGTCAAAGAAATTTTGCTTAAAAAATTATTTTATGGTCAGAAAAATTAATAAAAAAGACACATTGAAAACTTAAACATTATTCAGAAAAATAATAGATACAATAAAAAAATAAAAAAATAAAAAATTTAGATTATTATATAAAAATAAATTAAGATGTTTACCTTCATCATGGATGATGAATTAAGCTACAATAAAAAATTATTTTATGATCGAAAAAATTAATAAGAAAGATATATTAAAAACTTAAACATTATTTAGAGACGTAATAGATACAATAAAAAATATAAAAATAAATTAAAAATTTAAATTATTGTATAAAAATAAATTAAGCTATTTACCTTCATCATCCACGGTGAGTATGGAATTATATGGATTCAACCTATTATCTTTTAACTATTCATTGATTGGTTTGAACTTTGCATGCCTAAAGATTTTGGTTGAACTTTTTAGTAACTAAGAGAGAAAAGGCCAAAGCATGGATCTAAACGTGGACAATGTAAATGTTGTGTTTTGAACGTTGCATGAAAATTTAAGTACTATTAATGTGTAACTTTAAACTTAATCTGATTGGATAAGTACTATTAATGTGTAATGTTAAAAATTAATTGACTTCAATTCATGAGATTAAGATGTGAGTTTAACTTTGTTCAGACAATACCGAATAATGTGAGGAATTTCAATTAGATGGGAAATTGAAAAATTCCCTTAAAGGCATGAAAATTTGTCTTCACACTTTTCTATATATAATCCAACCCCATAATTAATGTTCTTATCAGCAAATTAGTTTAGATTTAATTTCAAACCTTCTTAATCAGCTAATGATCAATATGAGAGAATCTGAGTTTTTTCAGCTTTCAAGCCCACAATGCGACCCTAACAATATACAAGCATCTCTTGATGGCTATCGATATTTTGAACTAGCCATGGATGCTAATGAGCACCATTTTGATGAGTTTTCTCCACCTGTCACAACAAATGATGCCATTTCCAATGAATTGGCAGATCATTTTCCTGTTGATACTGATTCAATGAATATTAATGATCGATATTGGAGAAGATTTGTTGAATTTTTTATTTATATATAAAATTTAAATTCAAGGAGGATTCTGTTCATCCTGTACCTTCATGGAGAAGATTTGAGGAGACAAAGAGGAGGCTTCAAGATTGTGCAAACTCCTTCGGTTTGATGTTGGAAGTGGAAGAGGTGGAGCTACAAAATTTGATGAGTGAAATAAATGAAAAGATAGAAGGAGGTGAAAGAAGAGAATGGCTGGCCTTTAATTGTATGTGGGCTTTCCCTCATATGGGAAGGAAGAGAAGTAGAAGGCATGTATTGGACTTTGTTAGGACGGCTAAGGAAATATTAGCCAATATTTCTGTCTATAGTAATACTAGTAGTGGTGGTGGTATATTGACATTTGGTGATGGAGGAGGATGGGAATTATCCAAAGACTGTCCAGGTTTTGGATTGTTCTTCGACAATAGTATGGAGCATTACCATGCCTTGTTGGAATCGATTGAATGGAATTTTCCTATTTGCTTTCTAGAGGCAAGAATAGCTGTGGAGTGTCTCTTTGTTGCACCTTACGTCTCTTCTAGGGCTTGGATACAAAATTGGGAGGAAATAGAGCAGGGTTGTGATTTTAAGACAGGACTTGGGCTCGAAGGGTTGAGACTAGGCAATGAGAGTTTAAGGGAAGCAAAAGAACTGGTGAGAGAAGGAGAGACCCCATATGCTGCGAGGATTGAAGGAGAAAATTACAATGAGATGGTCTTGGAATCTAGAGGAACTCCATTGATAAAATTTTCTTCATGGAAATGATGTTCTGTGTGAAATTGAGTTCAACTTTTTTTCATTCATTCTTTATTTGATTTTGGATCTTGTTAGTTATTACTGAGAAACATACAGTATACAATTTCTGAATATTAATGTATTGTCATTGCTTAATTTCTCAAAACCTAGAGGTGATTAATTAGTTAAAACACAATGGAAACATGGTTGAGGTATGGCAATATATATATATATATTTGCTTATACCAAATTTGTTTTGCTTTCAAAGGGTTTTTGTCCAATTATGGGCTTAACCCTAACTTACGTTTTGCCATATCTCCAGCACATGGAAATATTATGGGTTGAAAATGAGAAATAAAAAGCCTAGCCTTGGGATCTAGCCCAAAGTTTGTAAAACGCTCCTGGGTTGTCTATAGTTGAATGTTTGCTTCGTCAAGGTCAACTCCTAACTAATGCTGCCAGCTTCATGATTATGCTGACGATGCCATGATTATTAAACCAGAGAAGTTGGTTATCAAGATCATTATGGTGATAATTTAACTAATTATTTAAGGAAGAGGAAGTTTCAATGTAACCTTCAATTAGTCACTTATTTATTCACCTTGTCAACATATTCAAATAAAGAATCCCAACTTACATTTCTATTCACTTAGTTCTTTATTTTTATAGTGATGATCAATTCAATATGTTGGGTAATATCATTTTTTTTTCATTTTTATAATAATCAATGAAAAACTAAACGTGTTTTGGTATTAATTTAGTTCAGAAAACGATAAACTTAATCTCGATTGATGTAAAAATTAATTCGAAAATATCCCACTACTTATATATGTATTCTAATTACTTTTAATTACCATAACTTATTACTCATGTTTGTTACTCAAACGATGGAAGATAATTAGATTTAATTAATCCGATTTGAATTTTTTTATATTCAACGTTATATGACCTCATTCCTATCAAAATGTATATACTTCGTTTCAACCTTGCAATATTATAGGGAAATGATTCTATTGAGATTATAAATAAACCTTTAAAAAACTATATTAAGTCTGAAGTCAAAGATAAGAAGAGGATCGTACAAGCTAGCAATTGTAGCCCAACATTAATGCTAAAAACACTTATGAAAGGGAAGCATGTGTGATTACTGATAACTAAACTTTCAATTAAATTTGAAAGAAATTTGGAATCATTTATCGCACAGGACTATTTCTTTGCATTAGCAGTCAAAAGGAGTAACAGAGAAATTCCTTTATTTATTTCCTACAACATTTTGATCCGTTCGAGAATGTTATGACTTTTGTTGTGATTGTGACTGTAATTGGTTGTTATAATTGTATAAAAAGTAGGATTATATGTGATTTTAAAAATATTTTTATGTTAAATAAAACTAAAAAAGTTAACCATAATTATATTTTTATGGTATTATACGTGGATCGACTTATTCAAAAAACAGTTTAATAATAACCTAAAAATTAAGATGTTTTAATATTTTTAGTTTTAATTGACGTAATAACTAGTTCAAAAATGTTTTAATATCTATAAATGTTAAAAAATAAAACCTCCATTTTGTAGTTTCTGACTTTTGGCTTTAAAATATCTTCCAAAAGTAGTTTTTAAAATTTTACTAAACATCTTTTGAGTAAATTATAAATTAATCTCTTTTATTTCAAGAAGCCAATAAATTGGTCCCTCTCATTTTAGAAACTCATTATTCAATCTTTATGTTTTAAAATTTACTTATAATTTAGTCCTTTTTACTCTTTTTTAATTTATTTTGATTTTTTGTTTTAAGAAATAAAAAAATATGAAAAATTGATGAAAAAATAAGAGATTTTTTGAAATAAAAATATAATATTAAATTTAAGTATGATCAACATTGATTAAAAATTTAAATAATAGTTTTTGAAATAAGAGGGACTAATTAATTTATTTTTTAAAACTAGAGGGACTAACTTATAATTTATACAACATCTTTTGCAGTTGACTTTTCAAAGAAAAAAAAATCCAAAAACCTCTAGTTGCTAAACGGGAACTTTATGTTGTGGCTTATGTGTAAACCTATATTATAATTCTAGAAAGAATGATTGATTTTTTTTTTCTTTTTTTTCTTTTTTTCGGCAGGAAAAGAAAGAGATAGAGAGAAAGGGAGAACTAAGAACACTTGGTTACTGGGCAATATTAAATGTTATACATGTGATAATATATAGTTAATCTTCCTTGAAAGGTTTTTGCAAGGGCTTCTTCACAAGTCTCAACATCACTTTACATCTCCTACCCTACATGTCTTGCTCTAACTAAGATTGACTTTGACAATTTCAAATCTTTCCAACTTGCCAAAAATTGAGGTTTATACATTCCCTCATTTTGTTCAGGCAATATAACACTTGTTTTATTCTTTGCCTTTTTCCTACACCACATGGTCTTAAGATAGAATTGGAAAAATTCAAGTCCTTCTAGCTTGCCAATCTTCTTGGAGGTTTATATATCCCATCTTTTTGTTTAAGCAATATACGTGTTTTAATAATTTTCAAGTTGCAAATTCTTTATCCTCGAAATTCGATGGCCTCGACGATTTATTTGGTTTTGATGTTCTTATTCTTTTATATGATCGTTGAGGCTCGAAGTGTAGAATTCATCTTCAATGGATTCAATGGGAGTGAAAAAGCTCTCTCACTTGATAGAGCGTCTATTATCAAGCCTACTGGTTTACTAAGGCTCACCAGCAAAACACAAAATGCTATAGGACATGCATTTTATTCCGAACCAATACAAATGCTTGACAGAAGTTCATCTTCATCTCCAAATGCTCTCTCTTTCAACACAACTTTTGTCTTTCAGATCGTCTCTCCATCCGAAGGTAAAGGAGGCTACGGCCTTGCTTTCACCTTAGCTCCCTCCACCCAGCTTCCCGGTGCTGCTGCGGAACATTATCTTGGTCTTTTCAACTCTACAAATAATGGTAATCGCTCAAACCATATTTTTGCTGTTGAATTCGACACAGTTAATGGATTCAATGAGAAATCAGACTCGGAGGGAAATCATGTCGGAATCAACGTTAACAGCATGCAGTCGGTAGCATCAGAAACAGCTTCTTTCCGCTACGATGCAAGCCGTTCGGAAGATTTGAAGTTGGAGAGTGGTAACCCTATTCAAGCTTGGATAGAATATGATGGTGAGACTAAAAATGTTAGTGTCACAATATGTCCCATGGGGGAAGACAAACCAATTCAACCACTCATCGGTCCTCATCATGTAGATCTAAGCGAAGTTGTTAAGGAGAGTATGTATGTTGGTTTCTCTGCGTCCACTGGAAAAAAGACGAGCTCTCATTACATAGTGGGATGGAGTTTTTCCACAAATGGAGCAGCCCCTCCACTCAACCTTTCTGAGCTTCCTATCGCACCGCATGAGAAAAATTCATCCTCTTTCCGACCCTCCGTGATTGCTATTATCGCATCTTTATGCAGTGTGACCACTCTTCTGTTTGCAATACTCTTCCTTCTTATGGTGTATAGAAGGAAGTGGCGGCCATTTGAGGCTCTTGAAAACTGGGAATTGGAGTGTCCACACAGGTTTCGCTATCAAGATCTTTATACTGCAACTAAGGGTTTTAAAAAGAGTGAGATAATTGGAGTTGGTGGGTTTGGTGCAGTGTACAAAGGTAGATTGCCTTCGAATGGAAATGAAGTTGCTGTTAAGAAGATCATGACTCATAATTCAATCCAGGGTTTGAGAGAGTTCACAGCAGAGATTGAAAGCCTGGGACGTTTACGACACAAGAACTTGGTGAATCTCCAGGGATGGTGTAAGAGAAACAATGACCTCCTCCTAGTTTATGACTACATCCCGAATGGAAGCCTTGCCGGTCTCCTTTTTAGTCGGAGAAATAACACCGTTTTGAGCTGGGAGCAAAGATTCAATATCGTTAAAGGCATTGCAGCAGGGCTTTTGTATTTGCACGAGGAATGGGAGCAAGTGGTGATTCACAGAGATGTCAAGTCAGGCAATGTCCTGATAGATGCAGAAATGAACGGACGGTTAGGAGACTTTGGTCTAGCCAGGTTGTATGATCATGGCACGCTGTCGCACACTACAAATATCGTTGGCACGATAGGGTATCTTGCACCTGAATTGACACGCACCGGTCAGGCTTCTACCAGTTCGGACGTGTATGCCTATGGTATTTTGCTTCTTGAAGTGGCTTGTGGCAGAAAACCTGTTGAAACAAGTAACTTCATTCTGATAGAGTCAGTGATTGAATACCATCAAATGGGCAGAATTCTTGACGCAGCTGATCCAAAGCTGAACTCTGCATTCGAGGTCAAAGAAATGGAGTTGGTACTGAGGTTGGGTCTTCTTTGTTCTCATCAGAAGCCTAAAGCCAGGCCAGCCATGAGAGAAGTTATTCGGTATCTTAACTGGGAAGATGAGCTTCCAGCAATTGATGATTTTGGCTCTTCTGATTCTCTGCGTGTGAGACCAAAATTTATGGAAGTGGTTTCCAGTGACACGATCACAGGATCGTATCCTTCATCTTCCATCGGTAACATTACTACAGATTCTATGGATGCCGGCAGATAGCAGAATCCATCTTCCTTTTGTTTCATCAACTTCATCGGTTTTTTTGAGCTTATAGTTATAGTTCCATTCTACAAAAAGTAGATTATGTACACTATCTACAAGGTTTTTTTTTATGTTTGTATTTATTTCTTTAAGTTACCATTTATTCCTAATTATGCAGAACAGGAAATTGATTCTTGATGGTGTCATGCATCATGATTTTTGGTCTGATTTGAAGTCTGAACTGAACTTGCAAGGCTTTACCAAAAGTGCCAGTTCAGTGATGGAGTATTACTCCAAAAAAAGGGGAAAAAGAAAAGATGTACAAAATATCATTTTTTACAAATTGGAAAAAGGAAAAGCGCCTTTTCCATTTTTCCCAAACAAAGCTTAACGTGAAAAACATCTTTTCATGTTTTCTAATGTTTTCCCTTTACAGAAAACGCATTTTTCCTTCTATTTTCCAACTTAATGAACTTCTTGTTTTTGACAAAAATATCTTCAGTAATTTTATAAACCAAAATTTCAATTTTATAAACTAAAAAAACAAATAAAAATTCAGTTCGGATTGGTTTTTCAATTTGATTAAATGAAAACTAAACTGAAATATTAAAAACCAAAATTAAAAATTCAATACTCACCTGTGAGAATTAGTATGGGATCAAGGGTGGCGCTACGTTATTGTTACAGGGACGATCGCCTAATCAAATTTTTTGAAACATGAAATTCCATCTATATTTAGGCCCATTTAATTTCATCATGATATTTTAGATTCTTTTAATTAGGTTCCTCAAAAAATTCTATAATTATGCTTATGGTCTTATATCTCTTAATTTTTTTTATTCTTATCCTTGCAAGTCTCGTATTGCCATTCGCCCTCCGATCATTTTGTCTCAACTCTGTCACAACATAAAATGTAATCGTGGGTAAAATATATGCCATCGTCCTTACATGGTGTTTGGTATGGAATGACAGATTTAGAAAGAAAATATTAAGGTAGTTAAATTCGAAGATGTTTGGATTTGAAATAATTATGGATGATATTAGATTCTAATAAATAAAAGTAAAATCTAATTTTAAATTAAATATAATTGTTAAAAAAAAAATCAAATAACATATAGTAGTGATCCAAAAAGAAAACGAGATGGAAAAAATAAAAATAAAAGAATAGAATAGAGTTCTCTCTAAAAGTTTCCTTACCTCTTCTTCCTCAAAGTTAATATTTACTCCTCTTTTTTCAGATTAAAGGTTAATTTCTATGAAATTTTCTCTTTCCTCTTTAATTTTTATCAAACATAAATTTTCATTTTTCACATTTCTACCAAATATATTATTTTATGTTAGACAATAATCTATTAACTAAACAAACAAACGTTGAAGCTCACGTAGCTGGTAATGTAACTTGATATATGAGTTTTTTATAGGTGGGATTAAGAGTTTTTTTAAAAAATACTAAAAAGTATAATATTAGATCACCTAGTTTAAAATGTTTAATATCGTTGTAAAATATCTTATGTATTATCATTTGTAGGCCATGAATGTGCTTCGTTCTTCCTTTTCTTTCGTGCACTCTTTCGGTTGATGAGACATTCCTGTTTTCCTATTACCGATCAATTAGTATGTCAAACTTAAAAGAGTATGCTTTTGAATTCCTTCCATTAGTCAGTTTCTATTCAGTTCTCCATGTTACATGCTGAAGATATGGATTAACTATTTATTCTCTTTTAAACAAATTCTTAAAAGTGTTTCACTTTCCCATGTTTGCTGCATCATGCACACTAATAAAGCCAACAGAGATGTCCTCAGTTGTATTTACAAACTTGGGGAGATTGTTCTATTACTTGAACGAATCCGGACTTGGCAAGGTTTGGGGGCCCAAAATATATCATTTTGGTTTTGTTGAAGATATTAGCCAATGTTTTCTCATATATATTTTAAAGATAGAATTGGTACAATAATAATAGGAGGAAAAAAAAAAACTCTTCTACTCACAAAAATATTTGAAAATTACTATTTAATTAATTCTATTTATTAGAGAGTTAACATTAAACAATTTTTAGAATCAACAACGGAAGTTTTTGAATTAAAATAAGTCATTTGATATGATATGAAAAAATCAATGTACTCTAATGAAAAGAATTAAAATTTTTGTACTTGGTTGACAAAACATCAAAAGTTAGTGTACTTATAGTGCAATTATCTCATTTTGAAAATAATGCTCAAACTTGCTTTCAAGAAAGTGTATAAATTGCTCAAACCCAGAACACCAGGTTTATTCAAACTCGGAGTTCATTACTCGAATGCAGCAATTAGAGAATGATGCGAAAGCATGCAGGTAGAGAAAAAAGAAGACTATACTGACTCAATACACCACCGATTAGTGGATACATTAAAGGAACCAGAGTTCTACAATGCTTGCATTTGACAAGATTCTTTCCTATCCCAGATAGCGGATTAAAAATAGTCATTTAAGATTTCACATCCGCAGGAAAAAAAAAAAACACAAGGATATATGACCTCATTTCTTTCTGGGATATCCCTCACAGTTTACCAAAGCTCGAAGGAAAAGGAGCAGAAGAAGGGAAAAAAAAAAAAAAAAGGAGGTGCCTATTCTAGATGAGGTAACCAATAACCATAAACAACTTTACTCACAGTTCAGCTCCATCTCATGAAACAACACGAGCAATCATCACTTGAGTCCAATTTGCAGTCTCTTTGAGATGTTCATCATCAGATTGAAGACACTCGCCGAGGAATTGAATGCAGAATGCATTGTCTTTAAACAGTATTTTCGTGTTTGGACCAAGGACATCCGCCAGATCACCCATCACAGCAACTGCTGCTTTTGTAACACTCTCATCCCTGCAAAACAAGGAACAGCACATTAGATATGAAAAAATAAATGCAGTACAGATAATATCAGAGTAAGGGAGGAGGAAGCAGGGGAAGCAAAGAAATGAAAGAGTACAAGATACCTATATTTCTCTCTGAAAACCAATTCTATGAACTGGAAAAGGTGGCCAGCATGTGGCAGCATCAACTCAGGCTTGGAATCTTTGAATCCCTGAAGAATACCAGAATAAGCTTCAAATATGCTACGCTTAAGCTGGTTACCATAATCCATCATTTCCTCATCACTATTATCCATCTGAGTACAGACCTTAGCAGCACTTTGCATCACTGCTACTGCAGGGTCAATATACTTAGAGAATTGCTCGCCTATGGCAAGAGCAATGTCCCCAAAGCAGGAGAATATGGGAGGCTTGACCGACCGGTGGAGTTCAGCACTTAAGAGATTGCGAACAAGGTGGTTCATGATCCCATCACAGTATGGTAAAACCTTGTCCTCCAGTGCACGGCAAATGTCACCAATCACCCCAACTGTGATGGCACAAACCTCATACTCTTCAGAATTCTGTAATCCCATCTCCAGGTATTTGTATAACTCAGCCATATACCTCTCGAATTCTGGACCAGAAGCATGAGCCAATGCACCAATTGCAAGCATTGCTTCCTCGTGCACAGTAGAGCTGCGACAAGCAAAAACCCTGAGGAACAGAAACATAATTGGATCTGCAGCCTGAAGTATACTGGGCTTGGTCTCATCAGTGCTGCTAAGCTTTTGGATGATCACCTGTATAACAGCACAAAGGGATGCTTGCAAGTCCCCTTGCTTCTCTCTATCATCTGATGAGGCAATTTGAAGCTCTAGAGTCTGCCCCAACTTATGCAAGATGCTCTTGAGCAGCTCCAAAATAATTTGAGATGTTTCCACAGCATTGGAAGATCTAACAACCTCATTCAATGTTTCATACGCAGCAGTCCTGAGCTTAGAGTCACTCCCATCTGTCCGCTCAGCAGTTTTGAGAAGTTCAGAGATGATCCTAGGGATGTGTTTAGTTAGAAGGGAGGAACTTGTTCCAGCATCTTCATATCCCTGTGCAAGGTAATAGATTGCCCCACAAACCTTTTCAGCTACATTTGGAGCATCATTAATACTCTCCAGCAAGACAGTTACGATCCTTTCTAGGTTCTCCTGTGAAATCACAGAAAATCCACTGGCAGGGCAGTGCAAAAACTCAAATATACGACTAAGAGTCCAAGCAGTTGTGTCCTTCACATGATTATTTTCATCCCTCATCGCATTAAGCAGAAAATCCAAGCCATTAGTAACAAGTGGACCCAAAGTTTCAACTCTAGGGCCTTCTAGAATTGAGCCAAATGCATATGTGGCAGCCTCACGACAATGCCAATCTGGCTTCAGAATATTACCCTCTACAAAAGGCATTACAAGTTTCACAACAGAATCTCCAACTGTTCTAGCTACAAGACCTAGACATGTGCCCCCTGCCATGGATATATTCCAAATGCTATCATCCTGATCCTGATCCTCCTCCTGTTTCAACATAGTATCCAACAACAAAGGAACAAGATATGGGAGGGCCTTTTCTATGAAGCGTGAATGAGTAGACCCCGAATCCCCACCTTCAAGGGTTCCATATTCTTGAAGCTCTATCTCTTCATCACAGATGGAGCTCCAGAATTCAATCGCTTGGAGGGCCACGCTCTCTTCATCCCCTTTCACAGCATTTGATGTTAGCTGGAAGAGGGTCTGCATATAAGGTTCAAGCACATCATAGTATGTTGATGCTATGGAAACAAGACACTCAAAAGCAGCCTGCCTGATATCCGCCTCTTTGGAAATTGCTGTCTCACAGACCACCTTCATGATGTAATTGCGCTCCATTTCATTTTCAAAGTTGGTCTGAGCAAAATCTAAGGCATTATACAAGGCCTTTGTTGCTGCAAGACGTACTTCATGACTGTGTACAGCAAGATTCATGCCTTGGACAACAGCAGTGAGAACAGAGTTCACTTCATCCTGAACAAGATCCTGGTGGGATATCTCCTCACAAACATATCCAAGAGTTTCCATAGTCGCCTGTTTCAAAGCTGCAGGACTATCTTGCTGGGTCATATTGTTAAGCAATGATGAGATAAGCTCAGGCCACTGCTTCCGTGGAATCTCAATGGAAGCAACTTTTGCAATTACTTGGGCAGAAGTGTGCCTTGCTTCCGATGCAGATGACCCAAGAGTCCTCAAGAGCAAGTCTTTGATTTGTGATTTGATAGAAATTTCAATTGCCATCCATTGTTGAAGAAGATGCTCCTTTCTCACAGAATCTTTAGCATCCAAAGAGTTTTTAAGAACAATACCAGCCAATCTTCGTGATTCTAAAGGCTTCTCATTGTTTGCAAGCTCCACCGACAAGGATAGAAGGAAAAGGGGCAAGTTCTGCTCTTGGAACTGCCTAAGATTGGCCTCTGCCTGAGTACGGATGTTTGCATCTGGTGATTGGGCAGCCAATAAAAACTGAGTAATCTCCATTGCCATTTCTTTCAACACTGCAAGAGAATAAATAACACAAAGTCCTATCAGTGAAAGCAGTAACACTAAAACAAACAACAGCAAATTGAATAATTGAGGAGCTTGAAAAACAACAGAATGGATGGAGAACAAGGATAATAACGTAACACACAATCAAACCCCAAAAGTCATAAAAACAGGCAGAACACAATCATTGTAAACCACTAGAGTATATGCAAATGGTAGAATCTACATCTATAAACATCAAATCATCCATCAACAAGATTATGCATTCAGTTCCATCCATAAAATAGCATGCTGATTTTAACAACTTAAAGATTATATCAAAAACCCAGCTAATACACAGATAAGATCATAACCAGAACCAAACCGAACAAACAAATGAAATTTTAGTAACTTCGGAAAATCACAGAAAAGATTTAGGAAAACAGATTAAAAAAATAAAAACTATTAATTACAACAATGTCCCACAACCTATGAAACGAAGATAGTACAAAATACGCACCCATTCATTACCTGTACAATATTATATGTAGAACCTACATGCCTCAATATCGACAAGATTGATCAACGGTTCCAGCAATATCTTACTTCAATTACGACAAAATGGATTCTAGCAGATTTAGGCACGTAATCAGGACAAAAAGATACTGTCCCAACTAAATAACAGCAAGCCACAGCCTGCTTCCACTATATACAAATTCATAAACTGGAAATTATTTATAAAAAAAAATGCTAAATCACCAAAACAAACAGAAATTACTCAATAATAAAACGTTAACAAATTTTCTATTCTTAATCACTCACTTAAAACAATAAAAATGAAACAACATTGATTTCCTTCGAAAATTAAATACTCAAATATAGCATAAAAACGCAGGAAACGAGGAAACAAATACAATCGACTAACGAAAAACAGAAAAAGAGCAAAATATAAAACCCTAAATACCAGAAGAGTAAGACAAGAATAATCAAAATCCAAAACCCCAAGCACTCAATAAACAAACACAACAGATCTACTGATTAAACAAAAACAGAATTAAAACAAAAAGAAATAACTACCTTATATCTGATGAAACCAGAGAAATCAGTACCGTCGGCACTAAAAAAGCGAACCGAACCTTCTTTTTCTTCGTTGAAGCTGCAGAGAATCGGAAAAGGAGCGAAACGGAGAGAGGAAGGAGAGATTGGGTGTAGTGTTTATACAGTGTACTTCAATGAAGAAACTGTTTGATTGATTGATGGATTGATTTTAGGGTTTTGGAAGAAATGTGATTATTGATAAATATAATTATTATATTATAAAAAATCTTTTTTTTCGAATGGAATGAAGAAGCGGGAGGCAGCAGAAGGGTTTTTTAGCGTGAAAAAAAAAAAGGGAAAAACCAACGGGCAAGGGTTTTGTAGCTGCCCCAGACTGCCCGACATCGCCGACTTCAAAAACCCTACCTTTTTTGAATTCTCTCACGTGTGAGGGATATCACACGCGTCTTCCATCTTCAACGTTTAAGTTCATTGGGCTTTGTTTTATGGATTGGGCTTTCTGTGGCCAGCTCACATCAGCTTTAAATATACTTTGGGTGAATATTTTGAGATTTTTTTCTTTTTTACTCTTTCTGCAGATTAATCTGAACTTGGACAAATTATGGAACGACAGCAATTATAACTCTCAAAAAGAGATGAAAGAAATCTATATAATTCATGGTTCTGCAAATCGTACAACGCCATAACAAGAAATTTGAAGCAATATTACAATCCTACCTCACACACACCTATAGACAAGATCATATCAGATGAATATGTAAAATATAGGGGAAAAAACTACAAAATGAGTACCTTCAGCACATGAGAAAATCTTAACTATGCATCAAATATCTTTATTTACAGAATCTCTAAATGGCTTATTAATTGAACATGTTTTCTTTTGTTTTGTAGAACAATATTGAGGTTGCACTTTTGGGGAGACTTGTCTTACAGGACTCTTTATGCCACACAGCTTGTGCTTCATGCGCCAAGGAAATAGAATTTCTAGGCCACAGCCTGTGTGTGAAGCCTCTGAAGGATATGATTGCCCGACTGTTCTTGAAACGTACTCCTCTGAATAATTGTATGGATAAGGGAGCTTCTTGTTTAGATTATTCAAATCGGAAAGTGCAGAACTTGTAGCTAATGCAGTGGCATCCGGAAGGAACCGCTCCATCATGAAATTTAAAGAGTGGTCATCGGTCGAGGCCACACTTTCTAAATTTAGCCTGTCTAATCCGTGTCCATCCTCGGATTTCTGGGCAATGTCTATTGCTTCTGTCAATGACAAAACATCTATGGCATCTGAAAACACATCAATCTCTTCGCAATCGTCATCATCATCAATGTCAGCATCACAACCTTCATCGTGGTCATCGAGGTTGATGATGCAATTGTGATCACCGTTTTCCGCTGCTTCTTTTTGTGGATTCCATCTGCATGGTGGAAGCCTTGGCAGAGGAGTTTCTGCTTCGAGGATATCATTTCTATCCCTCTCCTTGGGCTTGCCAGGAGCTTGTTCCCAACAGAATGGGATCCTATCGCTCGTATCCTGCAAAGCAGTTTGTGAATTTGTTGCACAATAAGTTCCTTCATTTCCAGTGTGACTGCCAAGCCGCCTAGTCGATAAGAGTGGCAGGTTTAAGTTCAGCTTTCTCGGACGATTACCATCGATTCCTTGCTCCCTACTTTCTTCCATATACACAGCCAGTTGTTTCATTGAAGCGATAGAATGCACATGGAAGGTAAAGACAAAGATGAATGATAGAGAAATGTGATAAAAAGTGGTTAGCTGATATTATAAAAAGGCAGTCGAAACTATGAGCATCTCGTGTAACCATTAACACCAGCTTTCCACTTTACGAAATGCTCACAGGCAAAGGTAGAAAAGACCCTCTCTCTCTCTCTCTCTCTCTCTCTCCCTCCCCCACCAAGAGATTAAAGGAGTAGTTCAACACCGTTTGTGTTACTTTCAACAATTAAAGATCCTAACTGGTAAATCAAACTTTATGGCTACCGAGTTTTGCAATGATTTCTAGAAGTTCTAGAGTCTAAAAAATGATGCATGCCATGACGAGTAAAAACGCAAGTAAATAGGTACAGATTCAGAGATGGAAAATTGGGTACGAATTATATGAGAAAATTGTGAAGCACAAAGAACAACACAAGGGACATTACAGTATGACCTGGCAAAAATCAGTTAATCCGTGAACCTCTTAACAAGACAGACTTCAGCATAAGCTGCCATTCATGTACATGTTTCTTCCAACTATAATACATTATTTCAATCTTTGCTGGAATGAAATATTGGGCAGTGGCACGAGAGCAGCAGTCTGCAGAATACATGCGTCCTTTGATCGCAAAGCAAAATGCAGAAATTACATACATTTACAAGTTATCCCACTCACTACTATCCCTTTCTTGTCAAATTCAAATGACCCCTTTCTTCCTCTGCTGAAATTCCTTTTCACAAAATGCCATGCGGATATCTGCATCTCTATGGAGAAAATCCAAAAAAGTAATTTTCCCTGAGGAGCACTGGCCTTTCTTGTACCAAAAATAAGAAAATGCAGTGGCAATGCTGTGATTGCCCAGATGATAAAGATAAGAAGCGTGTATTTCTGGTTCTCATTTTTCTTGTTCGTTACCCTGCTCTCGTGCTCTCTTGTAGAGCTCAATGGTACCACAGTGATTGGGATCAAGACAGAGAGCTGCTTCACAGTCTCGAAGGGTGGAGCTATTATCGCCCATTGAATCATAAAATGCTGCTCGAAGATGCAGCAGCTGTAAATCTGGCTTGAAAGCTATGACCCTCGAAAGCTCTGTTATGGCTTCCGCTTCTTTGTGGTCATCCATCAAAACTGAAATGGCACAGCATTGGTTTTAGTAATTTAAAATTAAACGACCTTTTACTCATATAATCCACAGTGAAGTCTGACTACGCAAAATGAAATGATAATCCCAATAGTTTAATTTAGAAGCACAAGCCTTTCTCGTCTAATGCCGTTCCTCATTTTTTAGTTAGATCAGTAGGATGAAGCCCAAATATGAGCAACTAAAACTTGGTGAACAGAAAACATGTATACTGAAAGAAGAAACAACAAAACCAACAAAACTTTCTTCAAAATAACTTTGAAGCAAAAAACAGGTGATTTTCATCTGATTTTGCTAATATTATCAAGGAAGACTTGAAACTGTAGCATGAAATAAACAAGAAACTTGGCCATGCTTACTTCAGAAGCATATCAGAGCTGCAGTCGGAAGCATGCATTCTTCATTACAAACAAATAGTGTTCTTACTTTGCCAGGAAGAAACTCGTCATTCAATTAACCTAACTTTAACTATACATGAAATCTCATCTAATGGAGACAACTTTGAATACCAATGGATCCTACAATTAGATAAATAGGCACAATTTAAAGGAGGAGGTAGGAGGTGCTTGGAAAACCAACCATATATTAAAGCTCAAAGCAAGAGACTAGATTTTAAATAGTTCAGGAGTCATATAGTTCTACTCATATGAGCAGGATCATAAATAAGACAAATATCTCCTCAAACAACTAATTCCTAGTATTGAAAAGCAAAGGAAGTTGACTACCAAATAACTAGAACTCCCAACCATAAACAAAACAGAACACCCATTCTGTCATCCTACTTCTCACACAGCTAAATCCAACAAAATCAGTGGTCTGTCTAGTTTTCTAGAGCTTTTTTTTTTTTTTAATTTTAATGAAAACTTGTTTCTAGATGATCAGAAGGAATCCTTCAGCAGGAAGCTGAAATGATACCGTTAAGGCCACTCTAACAGGCAAAGAATCTCCAACAGGATTACATTCAGTCCTCCAGTTAATGATGTGAAACTAAAATCAGATTTAACAATTTTCAGTCAAGAATTAAAATATCTCTGCAACTTTAACACACGAAGCAACATAAGTTCAGTGGTTAGTTCACATTTCCAAGATTTATAGCATAATCATTAGTCTCAAAGAAAGTAGATGTTCTCATGGTGCTTACCTGCTGCCCTGTATCTGTATGGGTAAGTCCTGAGTGGATCTAGTTGTGTTGCCATGCTAAGATCACTCTTTGCCATGTCACGATCACAGTACTCTGAACGCTTCTCATAAGCTGAAGCATTATTCGTTGCTTTTTCTATCAGTTTTGTCATCTCATCATATGCAGCTTTCCGTTGATTTTTTAGATGGTATACACGGGCCAGACCCTGATGTGCTCTTGTATGCTTGATCTCAAGTGCCCTCATGTAACAGTCAGCAGCAAGATCCAACTTCTCACAATCAACATATACACTCCCAAGATTGTTCAGTGCCTGAAGAATGGCAAAATTAACCAACTTAAAACAATATTCAGGTGCATTTAGAGTAATAGAATTGCATCAGAGTTGATACTCACTTGTCCTTTCCGGAGGCCATCTGAAGGGCACCTAAGAGCTTCCTCCAAAAGTTGGATAACATACTTTGAGGACTCAGGATCAAGACTTGAATCTGCTAAAGCATATGCTTTAAGGAAAAAAGCTTCAAATGATCTCTGAATTGAAATAGACTCCTCAGCCTTGGATAGTGCCTCTTCACGATGGCCAGTGTCATACAAGATCCATCCTTCATACACAAGTCTTTCATGGTCGGAAGTCGCATAATTTCTAGCCAGACGCAAACTACGCATTGCAGCCTTTTGACAATTTAGCCTATAGCATTGAGAAACAACAGGATGCCATTAATACAGATAAATGAACTATTGAGGATAGGCCAAAAGATTAGGTTACATGGATAAAACCTCTTCTGTATCCTAGACTCGGTTATACAAAGAAATAGCAGCTGTGAACATATCACAGAGACATTGTCTTTTCTATTACCTTCTTCCTTGGTACCACTCAGATGTTAACAGTTCATGACAAAGAGACCGGGAGATGAAAAAAAGTTACAAAACAAAAAAAAAAAGCAGAAACAGCACGCAACACTTGAAGACAAAAACATCAACTTGCAACGAAACTATTAATATCATTAGCATGAAAGCCTTACTGATCAAACTAATAATTAATGTTTTAGAAGTCAAGCAAGAGGAAAATTTTCCATCACAGCGTTACAGGTTCCGAACTCTATAGATAGATTTTATTGTAATAACCCTTCATGACAAAGAAACACTTCTTCCCATAAGTCTTATGTCTATGCTTTCGTAATTTCAAACACAAATTTAGAATCCTTTCCCCAGCTTCTAACCCATGTTGGTGGTCCAAGACCAGCTCATTTAAAACAAAGTCAAACAGATAAGAATTTTTTATAATAAAACTGAGAGTTTTGATTTGATTTGGAAGGTGTGCAGGAGTAAAGAGTTTCTTTTCTCTTTTCTCTAAGTTGTTTTTTCTTGTTCTTCTTTCACTACAGTGCTTCAGATATTGTTCACGGGACAGCTACCAAATTCCCTTGTCTTTTCTCTTTACTTAGCCTCTAAACCCGTCCCATCATTAAATCAATGTTGACCTATATTCCTACATATTTTTCCAACCCTTTCCACGCTAATTAAACCGTTGAAGGAAAACCTAGATCTCAGTGCTAAGTTGCTGCCCAGAAATTCCAACAATGTTATTCCCATCCTAGACCCCTTTCCCTTTTGAACTCCAAGCTCCAGGATCCTCCACTTTTTATACATTAGTTCATCACAAAGCACTTCTTTGAATAGAAATTCAGTCTTCCCTGTATCTACAGACAACTAAGTGCACCATGAGTGGTAATCACTGTTGCATTAGCTGTATCCTAGTTCATGACCATAGTCACATACAAACATAATCTATATTTTTTTCTCCATTGCTTTTCCACCTCCTATACACCTACTTTGTATTGTGTTGGACTGGAGGAGTGTCATAGGAAGGACAGCAGGTATGGAGGGGATGGGACAGTAGTTGATGCTTGAATTACATCTACGCCAATACCATTGCAGTTCCATGCATGACCTATGGAGTCCACTCTGTGGATACGAATGCTCCACCACCTTAATGCTTGTGTGTAAAGTTTTCAGTGCAATGTTTCAATTATTTAATTAAAAAAATGTTGCTTCACAGTAAGCCATTAAAGTTCTGCACATATGCAATACAAGCATACCAACAATTTCTGAAATTGCAAAACTGAATAAAAGTATTATTGAAGTATAAGATGGTATTAAGTTAAAAGGCCAGTCCAATGACATGAACTTGTAGCTAAAATGATGGAAGTACATGACATTCATTAGAAAACTTCAAATAGCATATGCCTATCCCAAGCCAAAATGCATTATGAACAGAAAGAATCAGAAGCGAATAATAAAGTTAAGCAATGCATTGGTCAAGAAAATGAATCTCACCGTAAAAGGAGGAGAGATTGTCGGAACCGTAGAAGGCTCTTCCTGGGGTCATTTGCCAGCATTTGGTGCACGACAGCTAGGGAGCCTATATCATCAACAGAGGACCATCGATCATACAGTTGCATCCAGCAGTCTGCCTGACTGTATTGCTGAACAAGGGGACGGAGGAGTTCTACTAGTTGGTCACTATGCTTCTTCCTATAAAACATCATGTAATTCGGATCCAAAGTCAAAAGTGCCCGGACATCTCTGAGAGCTCCTTCATAATCCTCCAAAGCCATAGAAATCCAGGCCCGTAATTCAAGGCAATCAGGAGAGACCTTGAAACCAATAATTTTATTTAGTTCTGCGATGGCTGATTCAAGTTTGTTCTCCTGCACCAACAAAACAGCCCGACACTTGTATGGGAATGAAAGTGTTGGATCCAATTCAGTCGCTGTGTTCAAATCCATCCATTTCTCCTTCCCAATACAATACAAAGACCTCTCTTGGTACATCCAGCCAACTGGTGTATGCTCAGAAATCAGCGAGTTCATCATCTTGTAAGCTGAATACTTGTGCCCTCGATTGTATTTAGCCCTTGCAACACCCACCATTGAGTACTTATGACCTGCTTTAACTGCTTCTTCGAACCAATTCTGGGCATCTTTATACTCTTTTCTTTCGAGCATAACAACACCTAACTGGTGATACGCAACCTGTTTCTGCCAATCTTCGGTGGCACACTCTCCCAGTCTCTCCAAAAGCATCACGGTATTGTTAGATTTCATCTCTTCCTCAATAGCAATCTGGCTCAGAAAATAATACAACAAAAATGAAGCATGCCCAACAGAAACCAATCTCTCCCTACCCTCAGATCCACAAAACAGTCCCATCACATAAGGATTGTGCATTGAAAATGGAAGCTCTCTCAAAAAAACCTGTAAACAAGCTGCCACCAAAACATATGCACCCTCCTCAAATCCATACTCAATTAGTATCACGGCACTCTCCATATCACAAACCAAAGATGCCAAATGAGCATCACAAGCCGACTTCAATTCCTCACAGCAAAACCTGTTTGCCAAAGAAAGAAGCTCCAAAACAATCTTTGGATCAAACGCATCCAATCTTTTTGTCTGGCTAAAAACCATCGCCGCTCTCATTCCCTCTGCTGATATCCCATTCTGCGTAAAATTTATCTTCTCCCTCCTTGATTCCTTAAACTCCCCATACAACATTGCTCTAAAAGGCCTCGAAAGCGATGCCACATTATATCTCACACACCTAATCTCATCATCGCCAATACAAAATGCCATATCACGATCATCATCATCACCACCACCCTCGTCAACATCAGAAGTCGAGCATTCTTCATCCCCCATCACATCATCATCCTCTGACTCCCCTCTCGAACACACACAAGGATCATTCACAGATTCGGGATCGTATCCAGACACCAAACAAGCCCTAGGACATTCTAAATTTCTTCCACAACAATCCATAGCCGACAAACCAATCAATTCATCCTCCCTCCTCTCAAACCTCAACCACGAAGCCAAAACAACCTTGGAATGCACATCCACAGCATGCTGTCTCGCACTCCTTAGACAATTCCGAAACAATTTCGGATCAGACAAACCCTTAAACACCGCGCATTGTTCTAAAAACCTGTCTGATTTCTCCAATTGCGAAGAATTATCAAGTTTTGTATAGACAGCAGCTAATGATTCGACGAAATCCACAGATTTAAGACAAGGCTCAATCTGTGGCTCGATGAGATCAACGGTCGGAAGACCAGCTGGCAATAAACTTTCCACAAAGACATTTGTTCTTGTCGTTTGGTTATGGTGAGTAGGTGGATGAGAATTTCGACTCGATTTCGTCCGAATCGAATTTGCTCTTAGATCTTGTAGATGTTGCAGAAACTTCTCACCAACTTTACCACCACAACCACCACCACCTCCACCGCTTTCCCCTCCGGTTGGATTGAGAGCATAAACCTGAGTTCCTTTACATCCTTCCGGAAATTTTAAGCTACGCATTGTTGCGAATATATTGTGTTGCATTTTTATAAAAACTTCACCATAAAATTGCCTCAAATTCCAAACAAAAATAAAGAAATAAAAGATCTGGAAATTCAAAAGCAAAAATGTATCTAAATTACCTTGTTTTAGCCTGCAAAACCACCGTATAAACAGAAATGGATGCCCAAAAAAGTCTAAAAACAGAGACGATGGTATATGCAGGCTAATGGGATTTGATTTTGACAATAAAGTGGAAAGAGAAGGAAAATAAAAGGTTTGTGTAATTGAATTGGATTGTTTTCTTTTTCTTTTTGTGTTCTTCTAAATGAATAAAAAAGGTAAATGACAATGTTGGCGGCCAACCAGATTTTGATGAGGTGGACGAGTGACCGTTTAAACGGCCACTCCCACTCTTCCTCCTTTTTTTTCTTTTCTTTTCTTTTCTTTTTTGTCTTTCCCTTCTTTTCTATTCAATATACAATAAAGTTAAAAACTGTGTTTTCTGTATTTTCTATAAATTATACATTAGTCCTTGTAGTTTTGAAAAATAAATAAATTATTTTATTTTATTTTAAAAACTAATTATTTAACTAGTAATTTATTTTTTATTATTTTTTAATCCTTTTATTTTATATTCTTTGCAAATTTGTTGCATTTTTCTGTTTTAAGAAATAAAAAAAATTAAATAAATGTTATGAAAATATGAATGATTAAAAATATATTTTTTAAATAAAATAATATTAAACGGATCAACAGAAATTAGTCTTTACTCTTTTTTCTTTTTTAATTTTTGTACTTCTATCTTGATCCAAAAGATGACAAGAAAAGGAGCTAAGTTTGGTTTGGCTTTTGTTTGTGTTTTTATTTCATTTGCTTTCTTCGGATCAATTTTAGAATAAATTGATTAAAATCTTCCTCGATTCGTATATTAAATAAAAATTTAATAATAAGATTAGATTAAATATTTATGAAATTGATGTTTATATGTGTATTAAAAAAAGAAAAGAAAAAATCAAGACAAACCATTCGATAAATTTAAATAAAACTATGATAATTTTATTATACATATAATCCCAAAATGGGAAAAATATTTACTACTTTCTAAGTGGGTCGTGTTTGATTTTGTTTGTGAATTGGCTGGAGAGGAAAGTGCGTCATCATCCTTCCGGTAGAAGAGGAGAGCCGCTAAAATTAAGGGCGTCTTTCCTTCCTTTCCACGCTATTATGTCCTTCCAAAACCTAACCGTTGTTCTTGTCATCATTAATATTATCAGAGTAAATTATATTTTCACCCATATAGATGTGGAAAGTTTCTAATTAGGTCCCTTTAGTTTAATATCTCAATATGAATCCTAATTTTTCCAAAAAACCTAATCACTAAAAGTTTAAAGTGACTTATATAAGATCAAATTTTATTTTATTTGTTAGGAATTTAACAGCTATGAACCATATTGGAAATGTTTGGAGGCATTTTAAACTTTATGAGCTGAAGTGAAAAGTTGTTAAATATATAGGGATTAAAAGATAGTTTACCCTTGATTATTTTTCTCATGGCAAAATCTCTCTCGAATCTAATCTATCTATCATCGGTTGGACCTCTTCTATGTATATCTCTTGCACGACGAAATTTTGCCATTTCACTCTCATATAAGCTCGTTGATGCTTTCAACACAACCGTTGGCTAAAATAATTAGTTTATTTTTTCTTTTAAGCCAAAGGGCATGCAAGTCCCCAATCTACGTCTATTTTCTAATTGTATCCTTAATTGGAAAAGCATAAGGGTTGCAGACAACCTACTTTCCTTTTGATATGCTTCATTTATGTCAAATGCTACATCAGCGACAGATTCAGAGTTGACAAAAACGATCAAACAATCACGTGAATTGTCAACATTAATCAATTTTTAGATAGCAAAATCTTAACTTTAAAAAACTATCTTCCCATAAATCGGTATGAAATATTAATTATGTAAAACGAAAGAAAACTCGTAAACAACTATAAAATCAATTTTCTTTTAAATGTTTATGTTTCCTTTGTGACTTTATGCCTAAAATTAATTCTAAATTCACTCTCGTTAACTAATATACTAAAGTAAAACCATGAAATGAACAATTGATTACTATTTGAAATACTGTACATACAACGATATTATACTTGTTCACTCTCTCACATTTCACTATTTTTTTTACTATTTATGGTTTTTTTTATATTTTAGTCTTTGATATTTTCAAATGCATATTTCGATCCATATATTCATTTGCTTATCCATTTCGGTCCACGGGAGGAGAGAGAAGGTGAGAGGAAGAGAGACGGAGAGAGAGAGATCGTCGACCAAGCTTATTTAGGTCACTCGGCCAACGAAAATCCACTAAATTTTTTTATCTTTAGGAGATGAGTTTGTTCATGGTAGTTTCAAGCCATTAAATAATTAGAGGATGTAGATCGAAGCTAAAAAAGAAAAAAAATATTTTGTATTTTTCTTTGTTTTTGTATGTATTAAAATGATTTTTAAAGTTTTAGATGTGTACGTTAGCTTTATTCTGGTCATTTAGAGATGTTTTGGAAAAAAATGATGACGAAATTCAATTTTTAGAGATCCGAAAGTTTACCTTCGATTTTTCGACGAACTTCAGACAACCTCGAGTTCCCTAGAAGTTACGAGGCTTCTTTTTTTTTTTTTTAGGTTGGGCTGCATGCAAGGCACGGTGCGAGGGCTTGCACTGCACAGAGCCAACCACACGTGGCCTCCCTCCCTTTCTTTCTTTTTTCTTTTTTTTTCTCCTACATATGTGCAACCCGGTTGCACAAGCCAACGAAGCCCCTATCCCGAATGGCTTGCAACCGGGCACTTTTTCTCTCTCCCTCTCTCTCTCTCTCTCTCTTTATATATATATATATATATATATATATATATATATATAAGAAGAAGAAGAAAAAATAAAGAAAAAAGATAAATGAAAAATATCAAAAATAAATCGTTATTGCTTTAGTTTTTCATAAAGTTTATATTTATATATAATCGTATTACTTTTATTGTTAATTTTTTAAGTATTTATTTCTTATTAAAATTCACATCAAAATAATTTTTTGATATAAATTTATTTGTTAATAAATTTATTTTTTTAATAAATGAATTTTGAAATAAAATTTTAGAACGTCCGTGTTTTATTTTTTAAATATATCATTATAATTTATACGATATTTTTTTTTACTTTTTAAATGAAGTTTTTTTATTATTTTTATTATTTAAAATTTAATACTTTAATTTGTCATTTTGTTAAAATTATCGTCCATTTAATTTCAAATTACATTAAAAAATTTTAAATTTTTTTTCACCTTTGATTTCATATATTTTTATACATTCACACCATAAAGCAAACTATCAAACTAAAATGATTTTCTAAATGATTTTATATATTTTATTCTACCGCAGACATAACGCGGGCAAAAAATCTAATATAATCTAAAATATAATCGATATAAAAAAAACATATAAAATTAATGATATTATTAACAATTATATGATAAAATTGGTGTTTCTCTCGCTAGACAAATTAAGTCAAATCAATTAGGAATGAAATTAAGAAAGCCCAACCAAATGTTGAAAGACTATCTCATCCAAAAGTTTAAGCTATTATATGAAATCTCGGAATATGATTTTATACTATTCTCTAATATCATGTCAAAAAATCATTTTACCTAAACACTTAAATTATTTGGTGAGGCTCTAAAATATGATTTATATTATTCTCTAACAATAAGGATTTTTTTTTCGCTTTTTTAATACAACGAAATCAACTAAAAAAATTAATAAAGAAGAAGGAATGGATTTAAATCTTATATTGTAGTCACTACAAATTCAGGATTGCAGACTTGGGGGGTAAGGATTTTTTTTCCCCTCACCTTCTACGAATGAAAGTGAACGAATTTTTCTTATCGAAGAAGTTCATTATATTGAGAAAAAATATATTTAGACAAAAAAACAGAATAAGTCTTTTCATAAAGCTGAGAAAAACTTTACTACATCATCAGAAGCTAAGGAGCAAATTTGTTATTTTTACAGTCATGGCCACGAAATGCTCCTGACTCGAAAAAACAATATATTTAAAATTATACTAACAGTATGTTTTATTTTTAAATTTTTTAAGATATTTTTTATATTTTAATCAAGGAAATTTTTGTTAAAAAAATTTATTTGTTATCAGAAAAAAATTATGAACTTAAAAATTATTTATAAACATGATATATATAATTAAAAATATAAAGATATATTGAAAACTCGAGTTATTATGTAAGAATAAATTGAACTATTTATCTTTTTTTTTATGACTAATTTATAAAGCATTGCTCATGAACGACTAGCACTGAATTTGTTCATATAAAAAAGAATATAGATTTGAAAAATTAATATATGTCTTCGCCAAAAATAAAATTGATATTAGCAACGTAGAGAGAAAGGAATAAAGGTTTAAAACACAAATCATTTTTCATACTAGTTAGAAATGGAAAGGTCGTTATATATATATATATAATTTCGGTATGGAGTAACTCATGCTCGTAGACCATTTTGGAGACCTAATTAATCAAAAAAATTTCTTTTTAAGTCTCAATTGAGTATGGACTACAATTGGAGGGCTCTTTTGCTAAATCGTTTCACCATTCATTTCCATCTTCCTCCCCTCTGAAGTGCACACGTGGCTATTCAGCTTCAATAAATGCACGTGACTGAGATTTCTCTGATGGACAAGGTTTCGAGCTGCATACGTGGAGCTGTATCATGTGTAATCATTGATGTAGGCCCTTCACTTGAACCACCAAACAAGGCCCAACAGGGTATTAGATCCTTATGATATATGATTGGGCCATGGTATGGGGCCCATAGATGGACACCTACAAGAGTATGGGTCCATTTTCTATGTGTCGACGAGCATGAAATAATCATACTAGGCCTAAATACTTGATTAATGAACAGGCCGCATCCCGACTCCTAAGGAGATAACAATTTTATCGGATATATAATTAACAAATAAACTAAAAGAATAAGCATTGTAATTATTCACATATTGTTCATTTAGACTCAGTTAATTAATAAATCAACAGTGGTTTTTTTTTCCCGCATCTTTCTTTCCCTCTTTGCTAAATTACTATACAAAATGTATTATTTTATACATTTTTTGTTTCAACTATCCGATCTAAATTAATTGCTTGCAATCGTTCGATCGAACATGACTTTTTTTATCTCAACCATCCATCTAAAAAACCTAACAAACTAAGCCATTAAATCATATGATATCTAATTTCATTTTATCCCAATCTTAGAAAGCCTACATCTTCTACGATTCTCTTCTTCCTCAAAACCCTTGCTACAACTGTACTCGCCACCACCACACCCCGACGTCGATGTCAGCCACCCATCACCACCACAACATCATTTTATCCTAATCTCACTTAACCATCTTCCTTAACCTTTATCCTTTTATTCAACAAATATAAGAAAAATATTTTTCTCTCTCTTCCTAGCCTCCTTATTTTCTCTTTCTCAATTTGTCTACGTTCGGGGTTTTTTTATGTTGGAGTTTGTGGAAGTAAGGGATAGCATCTCTGGGTTCAAATGGATTTGGTAGCTGCTAGGTTCATGAGCGAAGACGACAAAGGTGGGTGTTGGCTTCGCTGGGTTTGGAAGAGTAGACAAACGAAAGATCTATGAAGGTAAGGGACAAAGTTGCTAGGTTCAGCTGGGCCTGGTGACTATTGGGTTCATGAGAGAATACGGTAAGGGTGGGTGTTGGCTTGATTGGATTTATGAGAGAAGAGGATGAGTATTACTCTGTGAGAGAATACAGTAAGGTATATTTATCAATCCAAAAATTGAGAAAATTTTATAATACACAAGGAGTAACTACTGATATGCACAGTAGTTACTCCATGAACCCACTTTGAGGAGACAAAGATAGACACATTGAATTGCATCCGGACCCATAAAAAATAAGGGTGTTTACTATTCGGTGAAAATCGAAAAACCGAACCGAACCGAACCGTATCGAAATATCAATTTCGGTGCGGTTTTAAAAAAAAATTTGAAAAAAACCTAACCGATATATAACCGAGTTTTCGATTTCATTTTTTTAAAAAAAAAATCGGTTAACCGAATTATTAAAAAAATTTTTTAAAAAAATTCATGATTGAAATAGTTGAATGAAATCTTAAGTGGATTCATGTTCAAAAAAATAAATAAATTATATATTAGTTCACTAATCAATGTTGATCATGCTTAAATTAATATTAATTTATTTTAAAAAATTTAAACTTTTCTCATCAATTATTTCATTTGTTTTTACTTTTTTTTATTTCTTAAAAAAAATTAAAATAAATTGTAAAAATATAGAGACTAAATTTGTTTCTCAAAACTAGAGGGATTAATTTATCATTTCTTTTATAAAACTTCAAGAGTTGAAAATGTTCTTCAACAAATGAAATAAATTTAAACATTGAACATACAATATTTTACGTTGACTAATTTAATTGTAAAATATTTTATCGGAGACAAATATAAGAAAAAAAAATCTTGAGTATTAACTATAGGTAAAAACTGAATTACCAAATAAAAAAATGATATATTTCAAAATCGAATCGAAAAATCGAATAATAATTCGGTTCAGTTTTGGTTATTTTGTTGGACAATTCGATTAACCGAAAACCGATCAAAAAATTTTGAAACCGAACCGAATTACCAAACGAACACCCCTAATCAAAAGTGATAAGAATATTTCCATATTCGCTCAATTTTATTTTATTTTTTCTCTCATATTTCTCTCTCCTTTTTTTGTGTCTATCTCTCTCCTTAAAGCGGATCCATAGAATAACTATTATACATGCTATTATTTACTTCTTGTGTATTATAAAATTTTTTCGAAAACTGAAGCTATCATCGATTTTAAATCTCTGTTGAATATTTTCCTTTAAACACAGTTTGTTCATTATGTTGCACTTGAAGAAATTTGTGACAATAATAAGCTGCAACATTGCACCAATCCATGAGTTTGCAATTCGTTAAAATTGATTTGTTTAAAGAGTAATCTAATTAAAGACTATGACTGCAATTTCTTACTTTCTTACTGTTATTGTACTATTTTATTTCTTTTTGGTTCTTGCTAGTAACTCCTTTTTCAAACTTTCATTGATTCTTAAATAAAAAGTATATATATATAACTTTGCATCTTTTTTTCTTTTTTTGAAAGATGGTGAAGATGGTTAGAGTAAGTAAATATTTTCATCTTGATTTTGACTTGTATTCCACAAATAGGATCGTTTCAGAATAATAAACATTTCATACCTAAAATTTGAATTTATGATGGGTTATTGTAAGTAAACTTTTCATCTTGGCCTTTCGTTTTTCTCATCTTTCTGGGTTTTTGGTCAATGGGACCATCCTATAAGAAAATTGGAACTCATTTTAATTTTTTGTAACTATTATTGGTAAAATTATGAATTTCCTTTTTATCATTTTCTCAGTTTATTGTGTATTACTTGACTTATCACCATTATCAAAAGAGCTGCTTCTCAATCTTTGAGGAAGAAGCATTGGTATTATATTTGACAATTGGATATTTGGCATCGACTTGAATCAATGATGACAGCTTGGTTATGGGATTTTTTGAGGAGTATTTTCCTCGCTATTTCTTTTCTGAAGTTGATTTCTTTATCAGATTTATTATTGTTGGAATAACATGGATGTCGATTTCTTTATTAGACTATCTTTTTTCTCTTAATATTGTTGTTTTCCACAAGGTAATAAAATGCCATTATAGACTCGTTGGAGTAAGAGATGTAGTTCTCCAATGAAGCCTTTATATAGTTTTTTTACGTCAGTCAATGCAGCAGAGAGCAAACCATTTTATTTCTTACATACGGTGTATGGTAAATATGGTTTAACTTGAATCTATATAAACATATGTGTATGATCTATATAACCAAGTGTTTTATGAAAAAGCAGATGGCGCCAATATGCATCATTAATTTATAAGGGTTGGTTCTCTTGCTGGACATCTTGGAAATAATTTACAGGTACTAGGATGTGGTTTATCTTACAATTAATTTAAATACGAAGACTTTAGGTGCAATTCTCTAGTACCCGAACCTTTGTTGGTTAACATAACAGGGTTCTTATAAATAATAGGCTACAATAAGCACGTTAAGCAATTCTAGACTCTCGTATTGTCATGGGTATCAGTTCATCAATGGAGGCATGTCGCATGATGAAGATGAACCAAATTTTGAGGCCCTGTGCAAAATTATACATCCATTGCATTGAGGAATCACGTTACTCATTCAGCTATGGAATGATGTGATGGTGTGTCACTTGTCATATATGATTGGAAGTCACAGTTGCAGTTCAATTAATGTAAATCTCTTGCAGAATATCTTGTCTTATTGCTTATTTACTCTACATTGCCTTGAAGATGTCTGGAAAAATTACTTATAATGGACACAGTCTAAATGAGTTTGTTGCTCTAAGGACATCGGTTTATGTTGGTCAGAATGATTGACATGTGGTTGACATTACTATAAAAGAAACTCTAGAATTTATAGGACGCTATCAAGGTATTAGGTCCAAATATGGTAAGCTTTTAAAAATCATGTCTATGATTATGCTGCTTTATTTGCTTTCATCGTTGTCCTTTTTTCTTCCCTAATTCCCCTTTGTTATTGCCACCTACCTATCCTAAAAATTAATACCTACTCTTGACTATCTGAGCTAAAACCTCAATGCTTGGTTACCTAAGCTTTAAAAAATCATATCAATGACTATGTTGCTTTATTTGCTTTTTTCTTTATCCTCCTTTTCTTTCCTACTTCCCCTTTGCCATTGCCACCTATCTATCTTAAAAATTAACACATACTCTTAATTATATGAGCTAAAACCTCAGTGTCTGGTTACCTAGATGCTGATTATAAACACTCATGTCAGATATGCTTTTGGAGCTTGCAAGAAGAGAGAAGATTGCTGGGATAAAGCCTGATGAAGATCTTGATATATTTATAAAGGTATTTAAATTTGTAAACTTAAGTACAAATTTGCTAAGACATACATACTTTGCTGAGAAATTTAACTCTTTTTTTAACATGAGATCCGATAGCATTTTTTTTCCCTTTACAATTGTAAGTCCAATGTGTGATATTAGAAACTCAACCTCTAGCTTTTCTGCAGCAGACTATCCTAATTTTTTGTTATGGGTTTTACAAAAGGCATCATAGCTGGAGGTGTCGCAAGTGTTATTGTAAAAGCAGTTTTATACCCTATTGACACAGTTAAAACTTGATTGCAGGCAAGTAGGCTTATTCTATCTCATTTTTCTTTGTTTTTTGTTTTTTGTTTTTTTTGGCTTTGCATTGCATTCCAATAGTAGAATGTTTCAGACTAGATTCAGGTTTGAAAAGAAACTACATCCACTGTGCTATATTGAGCTTGGTTCTTAGAAAAATGTAATTAATTACCATTTTCTTCACCATCTTTATTACATGGTTGCATTATGCCATCATATTTTGATTGTGTTGTACTTTCATGGTAAAATTATGGCCACTCGAGTGCAATTACTCTTTTTATTGTTTCTAATTGCTTAATCTTAATTCCAAGTTAAGTTACACCATTGTTTTATCTCTGATTACTTGATCTTAAATCTAGCATGCTGAAACCAATTGTTGTGAGTAAAATTTGCTAGATGTTGTTCTTTTCTTTCTGTTGGATGATTAAGACTTCTTCTGGCCTCTTCATGGTGTGCCGCTAGAAGGGCAATTGGGTGCATCAATAGAAGATATTCAACTAGATTGAAAAGCCATTTATGGACATGCAATAGTTTTCCTTGGCTTTATTTGGCATCAACTGAGACAGAAAATTAGGTAATACCAGCAAATGATTCTTAAATGAGAAAAGGCTGCACAATCTGGTCATTCCATAATTTAGGATTCTTGTTGATGTTTTTTATATGCTCTCTCGTCATTGTAATGCTTTTTCTTAAATTAATTAAGTTTTTCATTTCTGTAACCGATAGGAATCATAAAATTAAAATGTCAGTGGCATAGGTCTACTTGCTGTCCAATGCCATGATTATTTCTCTATGTAAGAATCCATGGTTATGCTTTTCATTCTGTCTTAGCATGTAATATCATTATTTTCATGTCAAAATCCCATGTTTTTCTCTTGAATGTACTTGAAGAAAGTCAACTGGAAATATTAATTAATGTGTTGATGATATGGGTTTGATACATGTATTGTTGGTCTTGTTGGTAAATACCTCATAAAAAAATGTTAAGTAGGTGATTTTACTTTACTGATAAAAAAAATTAAGTAAACATTATAATCATAATGTCTTGGGATATGCTTGCTTTTCTTCTGTTTTTGTAAGTGCGTTTGTGCATGTCTTCTTGCACCACAAAGTTAGATGGAAACAAAAATGTTTGGTTTTCTTATGTATTTTCTCTCTAGGGTTCACGACACTATAGATTTACAATGATAGGTTTGCTGTAGATTACACAAGCTTTTAAAGTCGTGTATTTTCTATTTTTAAATTAATCTGGATGTAGGGGCAACAACTACATGCTATGTAGGATAGCATTTTCAAGGTAAAGGCATAAGCGACCACTATTTTGCTGACAGCAAGATGGCTAAGGCAAGCTTACAAGCAAATGATGTCGAGTTGGCTAAAGAACTATGGGACTTCAGCTTAGATTTGGTCCGCAGAGGCTCAATCCTTCATAAAGATCATAAAACTGATTGTTATCCACTGCAATTCGAAGCAAGTAGTTCTGTAGATGTGAGTTTTAATGTCATGGCCCTGCACATATATAATATAGAATGGTTGATTTATGTAACTATGATAATTAGTTTATTTTCAGATTTAGCAATTTTATAATTTTGATGCCATGGCCTTCATATATAGATTGTACAAAGAGTGATTTGTGTAACCATAGTCATTAGTTTATTATACATTTTTTTTGTAATAGCACAAAACAGAAGTAGTTGCTACTCATAAACAAATATGTAAAGATTGTGCAGTAAAATTTTGTGTTAAGAACTTATGCACCATATGTTTTTGCTTCTTCTTTTTTATGGGAGAAGTCACATAGCGATTTCATGGCAATAGGGGATTAGTCTTAACTGGGGTATTGTTAGTTCTTTTTTTTGGGCCTTTGGCCCCTTCTGTAACCATGAAAAATAAAAAATAAATACATATGGTTATGAAACAGTAGAGTGTGCATATGCTTGATATTACTTTGAATTGAGCAACTTGCAGCCTTTTTTTTCCCCTCCTAAAATAGTAACAAAACTGGGATAAATGTATGAATGAGTAGATTAGGCTTCTTTACAGTCTCTAATTTATTTTCCTCTGAGTTATATATTTTCCTAATGGCAGGGAAAAAGAAGAAAGATCAACATGATGCTAATCAAGTGGGAGTGGGTTTGACTCCTGCTTATGGACGTGCTTATGGGACGACACCTCCTGTAAGCATGTTTTCTGTTTTATTAGGATTGCTGCTACTGGGTTCTTTAGAATATGTGATTTTTAGGTTAACCTCATTTTTCTCTACATCTAGATTAATTGGAAATGGATATGGCAGCATTTTTGTGATTACTATTCTCCTGAAATTCAGTTGTGTAAGTTAATTTGATATTTAGATTTGACCCCTAAGATTGACTTTCTTACAAATAAATTTTTGGATGCTATAAAGTATAGAGAGCAGATAAACATTTATACTTTAGATAAACTTAATTACCTTTTAGTTGTCCAATCTAGAATGTTGTTTCTCTTTACTATTGGAAAACAATTATTTGCTTCTATCAGTTTTTTCAACAAGAAAGGATTCTGAATATACAATGATAAACTTCTATCCTACAAAGATAATATTGCAAGTTCAATTACCGAAGCCACCAATTTGGAACTGTGAACCACATGAGCAAATTTCTTAAGTTCAATTTCAGCTTCTTGTTGATGATTATAGAGGTATGTTATAGCAGTAATGTTCTTGAGCAATGATATGTAAAACATTAACTTGATTGATTTGACCTAATCTTTCCTTATTTTTGAATTTCTTGCCAGATATTTGAGGTTGTTTTGTATTTTCACTTTTACTCGGGTGTTCTGAAGTTGATTCTTTTTATCGAATTCTTGATACCAATCAGCGATTGTTAGGTACATAACTAATTTTTCTTTCTTCTTTGATTTGTATCATTATTGTCTTATTTTCTTGATATGGCTTAGCTACATCAGATGTTTTTGTTTAATCAGGTCAATATCATTAATTCAAGCTTATTGAATTCTGATTGACAGTTTCTTTTTTTTGGCTTTTATTTCTCTGCTAGCAACGCAACATGCATAGAATCTTTAATTTTATAAGAAAATCTGGTGGGTGCCAACTTGATCACTCCCTAATTTTTCATTCTGCATATAATTGATAAAAGAAAAGCTTGAAAGATCAACACTTACAGGCAAGTGCATACCCTGTGCTCTGACGCATCAATTTAGTTTGAAAGTAGTGAAACTAGGGTAGTTTCACTTGCACCCAGCATCTATCGTCGAAAAATACACACTTGAGAAAAACACTCTTGATTCTATGTTTTATTGAAAATATTATAGGTTGCTTTTTTATTTTGGATTCATATTTTTTGTATGTCAGCGCATTATCTCAAATCTCACATGAAAGACACATGGTGCAACTACTTATAGAAGCCATTGAATTAAATTGAATATATAGGTTCTATTTTTTTCTCTTTTTCTTAATGAGCACATGATTCTTTTACTGACTTTATCGTGATCAATTATTATTCTTAATGCAGACATGCTTTTGATAGGAACTGCCATGTTTATTTTTAGTGTTGGATTTTGTCATTTTTGTAAGATTAAAGAATTCAAAAGATCAAGCATTGTTATTACTAGATTCAAACTTGAGGTATGAATGGGGTGTGACTTCTCCTAATGCATCAGTTATTCACAATAACAATGATTGTTTATGTTTTTCTTTAATGGCAGTTCATTTGTTAGTTTTGATAATTTGTTTAAACTTTTATTCTTAATTATAATTCATTTTCAATACTACCAAAGGATGTAAGTCAACAAATCTTTAATGAATCGGTAATCTCACATTGTCTTACGAGTTGTTTTCTCTTGAAGCTTGTAGAGACTGCTCTTCGGGTAATTTCTCCATGTATTACAAACAGAAATATTTTTATCTGGTTTAATGTGGGTCGCTTTTATTTTCTCATATAGGATGGAACTAATTAATTTGTCATTTCGTGCTAATAGAGTGTCCTTTTGGATGAATATCCTAGAGTAATGGATACTTGGATGCATGTCATCTCTTCACAAGGTTCATCTTTGTTTTCCGTAGACCTTTTAGAATTTGATGTCATAGTTATTGGGTTGTGTCTCCTCAAGGATTATTCAAACATCCAATTGCTCTAAATTATTACGACGACATTTCCGACTATAGGCTGAAATATTAAAATTGTACTTCTTTAATTTTCCCCTTATTTTGGCTATATTGGTACAAAATCATGTTTCATTTCTTTAATTTGTTGTAATATGAATAATTTTTGCTTTGGAGCTTCTTCTAACATATTAATTCTATATTTTCATGTTATTTGGATATAAATTGTTTTCATATTAATTTAGAATATTTTATAATGTCATTTATAAACATTGTCACTCTAAACGCATCTAACTATATCAAACCCGCAACGAAGCACGGGTCACAAACTAATGATTACTTTACTAAAGAAACTAAAAAAAAAAGGGCAAATAAATAGTAAAATACTATTCGTTTATTATTCATTTACCTTAATTCATTGTTCACAATATGGCATTTTTCTGATTTCTTTCAATAGCATTTTTGTAATTTTCTTATAGCTTTTTGAGTATTTATTTTCAAATTTTACACTTCATTATTCTTTGCTCCCTTATGTTTTCAAAATGTATTTTTAAATCCTCATATTTTTAAAAATATTTTGACATCTCATGTTTTTAATTTAATCCATTTTTGTTTCACGTTTTTTCAAAATATATTTTTTTTCTCATATTTTTAAAAGATGTTTTTGGCCTCTTATGTTTTTAAATTTTAGAACAAATATGTGTGTATTAAAATTATTCTCTTAAATTTTTCATTTACTATAAAAATTCTTATCAAATTAAAGTTTTTATTTTGTATGAAATTTTATTTGTTAATAAATATGATTTATCTTTTTCTATGTATGAATTTTTAATATGTTTTTTTTTTTTTAATAAAGGATAGAATTCATGTGTTTCTTTACCTTATTCTTGATATAATCAACTTTTTTAGAATAAAATTTTAAGTTATTTTTATTGCAATTTATTAACTTTAATATATTTCTTACAAATTAATTTTTTAAAACATATTTTTTAATTTATGTAGAGTATGGTAATGGTGTAATGATGTATACAAAAAAGTATTGAGATCATTGATTTTATTAAAAATTAATTTTGCATTTACACATATAACACCAACTATTTTCTATTATTTATTTTTAATATTCTAAATTTAATTTATTTTAAATAAAAAAATATTTTGAAAGAATCACCTAATAATTCAAATACATGTTTTTATACCTAATATTATCGATTGTTTTGTGTGTGTGTGTGTCTATATATCTAATGTTCATATTTTCAAAAAGTTTTAAAAGATTCATTAGTTAATTTTTATACATATTTTTATAGATTGTTGGCATATTTCTCCCATGTAGCCTTATAAGAAAATATTAAGATATTTTTAAAAAATTTATATTATTATAGGTTTTTATTTAAAAACGAATGAATAAAAAAACGAATCGTATTTTTTTAACAACAAAATCTATGAAAAACATAAAGAAGGATGAATGAAATACAAAATTTGATTAAAAATTATGAAAATTAAATTAAATTTTTATCTTTTATTTTTAATTTAATATATATTAGTAGAAAAAACTAAAAGAATTAAGATATTTACTATTCGAGTTACTATTGTTTTATATTTAGATTCACTATTTATTGTGTTGCTTGATTTTTTGCTTCCTACTTTTTTGTTAATTTCTCTTTTGATACTCAATGGATTTGAAAAACTTCATTTTTTCCCTTGAATGATTTTCTTTTTAATTTAATTTTTGGGCCTTTTTCGCCATTTTCTTTTTTTTTTTTTTTCCAGATTGAGCACGAGCATTTAATGCTCTTGTCTTCTTTCAATGTTTTTTTCTTCTTATTTTCGACAAGGAAGCCAAAGTCACTTGCTATTCAAGAGTGATTATAAATTAGTCTCTCTTTCTTTGAGAAACAAATTAATTAGTCCCCGTGATTCAAAAACTAATTTTTTTTTAATCCTTTTTGCTATTTCAATGTTTTTATTTATTTATTTATTTTAAGAAGTAGAGAAAGACTAAAAAATAAGTATATATATATATATATATATATATATATATATATATATATAAGACATTTTAAAAATAATAAATTATTCATGTTTAACATTGATTAAAAAAATTAAATAATTTATTTTTAAACCAAAAGAATTAATTGATTCATTTCTCAAAACGAGATGAACCAATTTATAATTTAATTTGTAGTTTAAGAATCTCTTTCATCACGTATTAAGAAGTAAAATTTATGAGAACCGATTTTGTAGTAGTTTTTATTTCAATTTATTAACTTTAATATATTTCATACAACTTAGATATTTTTTTAAATATTTGTTTACACTCGTGATTATATATATATATCATTAGTTTTGTTGAAAATTAATTATGTATCCGCTTATATAACACCTTTAGTCGCTTTGGTTCAAAAGTTTTTTTTTTTTTTCCTTTTTGCTATTTCGATAGTTTTATTTTTTGTTTTAAGAAATAGAGAAAGAATAAAAAAATAAGTAAAAATATGAAAAAAAGACATTTTTAAAATAAAAATAAATTATTTGTGGTCAACGCTAATTAAAAAAGTTAAATAATTTATTTTTGAAACTAGAATAATTAATTCATTCTTTTTTCAAAACGAGAAGAACTAATTTATAATTTAATTTGTAATTTAAGAATCTCTTTCATCATAAATTAAGAAATAAAATTTATGGGAACCAATTTGGTAGTAGTTTTTATTTTAATTTATTGACTTTAATATATTCCATACAATTTAGATGGTTTTTTTTAAAAAAATTATTTTTTATACTATATACTCTAAATCTACTAAATGTGATCATGATATATATAAAATTAATTAATTTTATTAAAAATTAATTATGTATCCGAATACATAATACCATTAGTCCATTCGGTTCAAAAATTAATTTTTTTTGTCCTTTTTGCTATGTCAATTGTTTTATTTTTTTGTTTTAAGAAATAGAAAAAGAATAAAAAAAAGTAAAACTATGAGAAATTTTTTTTCTAAAATAAAAAAATAAATTATTCATGGTCAACACTAATTGAAAAAATTAAATAATTTATTTTTGAAATCAAAAGAATTAATTAATTCATTTTCAAAATGAGATGAACTAAGTTATAATTTAATTTGCAATTCAAGAATCTCTTCCCTCATAAATTAAGAAGTTAAATTTATGAGAACCAATTTTGTAATAGTTTTTATTTCCATTATTGACTTTAATATATTCCATACAACTTAAATAGTTTTTGTTTTAAAAAAAATTTAGTTTATACTATATACTCGAATCTGCTAAGTATATATATATATATATATATATATATAGTTTTCTTGAAAATTAATTATGTATATGCATATATAATACTAATTATTTATTATTTATTCTTTTTTATGTTCTAAAATCAATAATTTTTTTAAATAAAATAATTGAAATATATATTATTAGTTTTGTTAGAAATTAATTATGTATCTACACACATAACACCAATTGTTTATTATTTATTCTTTTTTAAATTCTAAAATCAATATTTTTTAAATAAAATAATTGAAATAATGTTTTGAAAACCTTTCGATTATTCCAATACAACTTTTTATGCTAATATTATTGATTATTTTGTTAATAAATATATATATATAAATCAAACGATTTTGCTCGGTAAATAAATTTGATTTACATTAATTACAATAAATAAGATTTTTATCCATATTATATCATACAAATCATTGACCTTACGTATATAATGATTATCCGATCACAGCATAACATAAGTATCCAACTAGTAAGTAATTAAACAACCTTACACTTATGACGTTAAGCACCATTATCCTGTCCTCTAAGTTATACAAAAACATAGCTGAATTGATTGGAACATGGTAAACTAAACCTTGCAACTTTATTTTTGTTACTAAGTAATAGATTTCCCTTTTTTTCCCCCTTTAATTAGAACAGATAAATTACAAGATAATTAATAATTTTGTCAAAAGAAGAACATAATCAAGAGTTTGAATGGATGAAAGGCCACCCTATCTGATTGATTATCAACACGTAGGAAGAATGAGTCTCTTTCTTTAAACTTTTCCAGAATCGCAGTGTCCTTTTCTGTTGAGTCTCTTTTTGTCAGTGTGAAAGAAGACTTTTGGGTCCAATAAGCTTCCAAGAAGATAACATCTGGCTAATGAATAAGTTCTTCCCCAAAATGGGTGGACGTGAGCTTATATTTCCCTTTTATTTCCCCTTAATTAGAATGGACGAATTACAAGAAAATTGAATATTATAAAAGATTTGAAATTTTTTAACTTTTTTTTTTTTTTTTATGTCATATCCATTGAACCCTCCTATAAAATTTTGTCAAAAGAACATAATTGACAGTTTCCAATGAAATGACACCTTGATTTCTATATATTATGCAAAAAAAAAAAAAAAAAATTGTTACAATATTCATGCTGTGCTTAATTATTTTACCTGGATATGAAACCCAGATCCTTGCTTACGAGAAAAAATGGTGAGAAATGTTTACGTGAATGGTAGAATCATTCAAGTCGTATAGTCCATTTTCATATGCAATATGAAAACAAGTTATGTAGAAAACTTTAGATCAGATAGCCAGGCATAGATCCAATCACGATCCGTTTAGGAAACTGCATCACTTACAATAAAAACAGCATTTGTATATCCAATCATCAATATAAAACGGATTTGGTGGGGACTTCCATGGATTTTCTTTTGATGGACCTAATGTTGATGGGTGGAAGTGGAAGGATGCACCAAATAAGAAGAGAATAACAAATTTAAAGAAGTTGCATGAATGAAAGAAACCGTACAGAAGGAATGTTTCATGTGTTCTTACAGTGGCACAATAATTTTTAATAGAGTAAGTACTAAGTAGTACTAGAAGACATAGATAAAGGACTACTACTATAATACTATATATGATCCCTCCTGTCAACATAGGGGCAGATTGATCGGCTATCTTTCTTCTCTCTTGATTAATAAGTCACAAGAGATAACCTCATTCTCCTGCACAGCAGATTTTGTCAATAAATGACAACCTTACACGTAAAATGCCTTTCAAGTTTTAACAAATTTACTTGAGACCGAGGGTCAGGGACTCGGGACTAATGGAGTTATAATGATGAAGAAAAATACAATGGCAGCAACGAATTTTGCAACTTTCTCCAACACTTTGGATATGTCAGGAAACTTTCTCCTCATTAACTGTGAAACAAAAAGGGAGGCAAAGGTGAGTAGGATGGAAAGAGAACGCAAGTAGAAGGGAATAGAGAGTTCGGAATGCTGAGTTGTTTCGTATTGGACAGCTATTTGAATCGCTGCTCCGAAACAGAATCCCATGATTATGTTAGGCCATTCTAGAATACTGATGACCGTATTGACTTCTTGTGGATTGATGACAGGGGAAGGTGTGTGTTGTGTTGGAGGTGCTGAAAGTAGCTCTATTTCCATAGCAGAATGAGGTTGAGGCGCCTCTGTTTCTGTGTTGATGGTTGTGAAATGTGATGGTTGTCTCTCTGGGGTTCGAGATATTTCTTGGTTAAGGATAAGAGAGGGTTGTGATTGTGATTGTGTTTCTGGCAATTGGGATTCAAGGTCGATGGAAGGAGGAGGAGGTGGTGTTTGAGATGGATGTAATGGTTGAAGTGGTGGTCGCAACATTTCTGGGGCTATGGCATCAGAAAGCAGGGGTTGGTTTTCTGGGTTTCGAGACATTTGGCTAATGGCAACAGGGGCTTCTGGATATGACTGTGTTTCTGGGGACTGCGATTCGAGGTCAAAGGCAGGAGAAGGAGGTGGTGTATTTGATGAATGTGAGACTAGTGGGTATCTTACCCTTCCCGGGACTGAGATCAAGAAAGCTGTAAATGAAAGAAAAAAACGGTTGATATCTTGCGTAATGCCCATGTTTGTATGAGTTGAGTAAAAAGCTTGGAAGCCGACAAGAATATTTATAATGTTTTTGATGAAGGCAGTCTGCCTCTTAGCCGTCGGCCCTCCGCAACAAAAGGATTCCAAGCGAGAAAAAGGAAAGATTATACGTAAGACGGCGAGACAGCAACGTAAAGAAGATGCGAATTAGATGTTTTCCATCAGTACAGTTGGGATTAATGATAAACTGTACATTGATTGTCAACACCAGGGAGGAATGGGATCTTTTAAAAAGATTTTTATAATCTCAACCCACTTATGGAGAAGCTGCATCCTAGAAAGTGTTCAAGGATCTGAGAGTGAGTAGGTTGCGTAAATGGCTTGTGATCCGAAGGTTCTCTGCCCAAAGCCTACCGATGTGGATAGAGGTAAAGAATGGAAGGAATAAAGGTTACTTTGTTTGTGTTGGAACATGCTAAAAATGATTGGTGGCAAAGTGATTTGTACTTGGAATGACAAATGGGAGTGGTACAAGCCCTCAACAACAAAACAATTGACCTTAAAAGGTTACTTTGTTTGTGTTGGATATATGCTTAAAGTTCATTGGACTAGTGATCTTAGAATAATCCATAAAAGAATAAAGTAGGAAGATTGAAGTGGAAAAAAAAATTAAATAGGAAAAGGATTAATTAAGAAATGAATTGAAGTTAAATAAAAACAAGACTATTGTGAAATTTAAAAAAAAAAAAAAAATCTCTTTTCTTACTTTGTTTTGCCCACTTGTGTGCATATAAAAAGAAGGCTTTGGTCTTTCTTACCGCACAATTGCCAAAGAGAACAATGGTAGAGAAAAGGAAAAAAAGAGAGGATTTTTCCTTAGTTTTTGAAGAATTTTATAAGAAGAAAGCAAGATTTTTGGCTAACAAAATATTGAGATTTTTTCTTTAGTATTGATTTTTGGATACTATAATAACAAAAATTGAAGGTAATGATTTCATGTAATATTGGATTTTGTAAAAATACAAAGAATTCGCAAATTCTATAGATTTAGCTAAATATTTTTGCTTCTTAGATTAACAAAAAAATTTGAATGATTGTAATAATTTATTACTTATAATAGATTATTTCGGAGTTAGTCTCGTGAGATAAAGAGAATTTTTCATGTAAATCTAATATTCTTGTGATTATGTTTTTTGGATTGATTTATTTTTGCTTTTGATTATTGTGTATGCTTGTCTTAATTATTTTCTCACCAAATCTAATTTATATGAAATGAAATTAAATTCTCAACGATTTGTGATTGCTTTAATGTGTTTATAGTTAGAGATTTCAAAACAATACAAACTAAATCACTGCTACTTTAAACTTTAAACTTAATTTTACTAATTAATTTGTTTTAATTGCTTTTATTTATTGCTAGTCCAAATAAACCATTCCTGTCCTAAAGTTCCATAAAAACATACCTGAAATGATTAGAAAATGCTAAACTAAATCTTGGAACTTTATTTTTGTCACTACATAACATATTTCTTTTGTATTTTTCCTTAATTAGAACAGATAAATTACAAGATAATTCAGTATTATGATTGTGTTTCTCTTAAGAAGTGCTTTCCTAGTGCGATTTTTCGTTTTGTTAAAAGATCAATGAATCAAGTAGCTCATAAATTAGTTGATTCATCTTATTCTTTGCCTGATCTGACGGAATGAGGTTATGTACCTCCACAGTTCTTGAAGCATTGTTTGACAGTAATAAAACTATTTATTTCAAAAAAAAAAAAAAAAAATTAACTTCGATTTGAACTCTTTTCATCTAACATCCATCAAACCCTCCAGTAAAATTTTGTCAAAAGAAGAATAGAATTAAGAGTTTCCACTTTGTTTCCTGTATTTCATGAAATAATTATGTTACATTCTGGTTGGGGAATGGAAAAGTTCTTAAGAAAAATGACATGAGACCTCAGACCCCATAGCCTTGCTTGACAGGAAAAGTTGTGAGGAGAGTTTGTTGGTGGTATCCTAGAAGTCATGTAGTAAATTTTCAAATGCATTATTTAAACAAACCAAATAAAAGAACGAGTAATTAGATACACATTGACAATAACGGGGATCTAAGCACATATTTAAGACCATAATTAATTGCACTAATTAAGTATAATATGCTCTCATGACGTACGTATAAGCAGCGTCTATCTAAAGGGAACTAACCTACTTAGTTCCTTCCGTTGAAAAATTGGCTGTAAGCTTTATTTCTAACAAATTCTCACTCCAATTACTATCCTATAACAAATATTATTCCATATCTTTAGATGTACACGGCTTACGTGATCACTGCAGTATAACTAATTAATTGGTGATAATGAAATAAATTAAAAGATCATTATGTACATTTTTTTCGATCTTTTTTATCTCGATGACTTTACTTTTATGTTTGCTATTTAAGTGCGTAACTTTTTGAAAATTTTCTAACCAAATGTTTTCATTAAATTTCATTATATGCATATTGACATAGCTGTTAAATTAACATATGAACTTGCAAACGTATTCGCTAAGTATGCATAAAAATTTTTTTGGGTGTATGTAGGCCGTATTCTATCTTCTATATAGCACTAATTTCCCCGTCCGGGTTTAACTTTTTCTTTTTCCAAAAAAAAAAAAAAAAAGAAAAGACTACATATTATATGAAAAAAACCAATAAAAAAAGGTAAAACTTCATATGCCTTCAGAACATTAAGAGAGATCAAGAGCCATAAGCACAAAGAGATTTTTTTTTAAAAAAAACAAGGGTGTTTATGAAATTTTTTAAAACTTGGGGGCAGAGGCTGAACATAAGGGTATATATGAAATTATAAAAAAAAAAAAAAAAATTGGAGTGGTTATGGCCACCCCTAGTTTGACTTAGTTAAATTGGTTCTGTGGATGAGTGGGAGAAATTTTATAATATTTAAAAAATAATTAATATAAGTTATTCTATAAAGAGATAGACACAAACAAGAGATAGAAAATTAAAAAAAAAAAAATTGAGCCAACATGAAAATTTTCAATTTTTTTATCATTTTTAGTAGATCCGGATGTAATATTTTTTTTTTTTGTCTATCTCTTTTTTAAAAAATGAACACATAAAGTAATTACTCGTATATCTACATTAGTTACTCTTTAAATATTATAAAATTTCTCAATGAGTGACTTGATAGTAGAAGTTTTGGATTTCTAATAAGAGATGGTTATCATATTGTTTATGTCAAATTTTTTGATTTTAAAAGTATGAAAATTTTAAAATTTCTGATTTTAAAATCAATTCATATCCATAAAAATTGGTTAAAAAGATAGCTCTTTCTCAACATATAAAAAAAAATTATTAAATTACTTGATTGGAGTCAAGTGTTAGTGGCGGAGGTGCGGAGCTAGCATCATTGTTTTTTAGAGCGCCAAAATATAATATGGCTATATATATATGGAAAATTTTTCAATAATTTAATCTAATTTTTCAATTAAACGTTATCCTTCTTCTTATTAACATAATTTTTTTACGTGATTTTTATCTTAATTATAATCATGTTGTTTTTTTTACGTGATGAATGGTGCTGCTTTAAAGAAAATTCAAAACATAAAAGTATATAAATACTTGACAATATATTCAAATGTATCATTTATTTTAAACATCAGTGTATTAATTCTATTTTCTCTATGTCTCACGTTTAATATAATAAATGAAAATAATAATAATGAATATTTACTTAAATTTCCTTAAATTCAATAACTTATAATTATAAATGGAAAGTGAATAAATATTTGTTAATATAACTAACGTGTTTACTTATATGACTTGTTACATGAAAATTATTTTATTCTTTGGAGTTTGGAGGATGCAAACTCGTGGAAATTTTTGGAAAAAAATTATATATGTAGGAAAGGATTTCTTTTAGGATGGATACCCATTAAGCGACCATTCTTTTAGGGCCTAATTGAGAATTATTTTAAAGATTGGGGAGTAATATGAATTTATTTATAACAAAGGTCGAGCAAGGTTATCAATGAAACGCAACGTCTTGATGGAATTCACGGCAATTGGGCAACAATTTAATTCCGCAACTCTGCCTTTCCCTCTCGTCTCTTAACTCAAAAAAATTCGAAAAATGGGGGATTTCTCTGTTAGGATCGATGTAGAGAAGCTAATTTCATTCAGCGATGATCTCGTTGCCATTTTGAAGGATCAAAGAGATATTAACAACTTGACTCACTGTCTTGAACAATCAAAATCTCTCAAATCCTCTTCCGACGCCGAATTTAACGACACCAAAACCCTAATCGAAGGTCTCTGTTTGCTAATTTGGAATTTAATTTATTATTATTATTATTATTATTATTCAGATCTGATTAGTTTTAGCAATAACGAGGAGCAGACTACGAGAAAAAGGTAGAAGCATGCAAGAAGAAAACGGAGAAGGCGAAATCCGAAGTAGTTTCGGATGCCGAAATGAAGACTCTTCAGCAGGAATTGGAAGCGGAGCTTGAAAAAGAACGTGCCCTAATGGAGGAGCTTAGATAAGTAATTTGAGATTATTGGTTTTGTGTAGTAGTGGCAAATCCATTGATTGGTTTTGTTTGTTTAAACACAGCGGTGAACAATGAGATCAGTGATTTGGAGCGTAAACGGATTTCTTTCGATGAACAAAAGCAAACTGTTAAGAAACACGAGAAAGATGAGCTCAGAGCACAGTAAGTTGTTCATAGATAAAATTGAATTGATGGATGACTATGTTATGAATCTTGAATCTTATAAACTGTATTTCATTTTTTTAATAATCGAGCTTTGCATTTTTTTTTGAACTTGCAGGAGGATGCTTTCGATGTATGCATCTGTGACCAACCTCATTCCGGAGTTAGATGATCACTCCAAGATCTCTGGCCGTATCCTTATATAACAAAGTTACAACCCACTTCATGATTTCTTCTTTTATGTTGAAAAATTTTCTTCGTTTTGAGTGCCTTGTTTGGGTTCAATGCTGTTTGTGCAGGTTGATTGTCCTTGATATTGGTTGTAGATATTGTGGATAGGGATAAAAGGGCTTTTGAGAAATTTGAATTCGACCCGACAGAGATGAGTCCGTTTGATACATGTCAGAGCATTTGGAAGATGATAGATTCGCAATAGATGTTGGACATCTTCAGCTGGCTTGCGTGATTCTACTTGGATTCAATGCTTACAGGGCAGTCGTTTGCCTTTTTTTTTTTTTTCTTGGGTTTTTCTGTTGTATATTTAGTATTCCATTTCGTAGTCAGTCTTCTTTTTTCGGGGGTATTTGGCTTATTCCCTCATAGGTGGTAGATGGTGATGCTAGTGAGGCATGCTTTCTAGGTTCGATATATGTGGGTGGTGGTTGATTGGGAAATGTGTCCACTGGTTTTGTTGTATGTTCACCTTTGTTGCAGTAATGAAATGTATTTCCAAAAACCAAGAGTTCAAATATATATATATATATACAATAATCATAACTGGGGATGAACAATTTTATGTTCAATATTTATGGCAATTTATTTGGATAAATTGCAAATATAGATCAATTTCATAACAAGCTAACATTAAGAGCTGTGTTGGTGTTAAAATAAGAAGCAACATGCCACTTCATTACCTCTTGGAGAACCCTTGCAGCTAGCTCCTCGGCAGTATCATTTGCAAGCACAGGGACAGCTCTTTGAGCAAGGCGTGTCATAATGCTTGTAAACAAAGTGGCTCGTTGGCACTGAGCACCTAACCAGCCAAGGAGAGAGCCAAAAAAAGGCGCAAGGACTATTGTTCTGAAGTCTCAGCATAATGCAAGAATATTTGGTTTTTAAAACAAAATCAAATAGGAATCAAATTTTGGTTATTAGTTCCAAAATAAATGATTTCAAGACAGGAATGAGAAAAGAAATATCTAACACATTGGATGCGATTACCTGGCTCCTGAAGCAATGGCTGCTTTATGCACCTTCATACCAGAATGGCCTTTGCCACCAAAAGCTGGAAGAAGTGATGGATGTATGTTCAATATAGATTGGGGATATATAAGCTCGAATCAACTCAGCTGGCATAAGTTTAAGATAGCCAGCCAAAAGAATAAAGTCAATCTCAAATCTCCTGATTAAGAAAATGCATCAATGTTACTAATGATCACGTTTTCTTTTCTCTTGTTTTTGATTTTTTTTTTTTTTTTTGTCAAATAGTGATTATCACTAGATCTATGTGTATGCCATTTGAGTAAAAAGAAATTGCAACGAAAACATCCAGGGACGCATTATAAACTAAGATGTGCAAGTGACAGTAGCAGAGAACAAAACCTAAAGAGGCAGTTAGTATCCATAACAAAAGGTTGGCAAGATAGCAGGAGATGCCTCTACCAAAATGCGTTATCGAGATTTGACAAGCTGAGTATCTATCTGGTAAAACCTTAACAATTTCATTTCCCCAAAAAAATTCGGATCAGCAGACATTTTTCATAAAATTCAAAAGAAAATCCATGCTAGTTTTATATTTCTAATAGCTAGAACTACAGTGCATATGTTTAATGGCACTGATAACACCTGATTGAGAGAATGCATCAGAAACTCCTGGCTAATCAAGAACCTCAGAGTCTGAGGATCAGACTTGATACGCGAAGCAGAATCTCACCAAGAAACAGACAAAAAGCTCTTGTGCAGGCAATACAGGGCAAAAAAGGAGCATTTGATCACGTTGGATAATGATTGTTCATATCCATTAGGCCATCATCAGTAATCAATCATGGGCGTTCTAGGAGCTAGAAATTCTTAACTACTTTATTCCCACATAATTGCTCTTTACACGATGGCAGCAAGTCTGAAGATCTAAAAGGATTAATCAGGAGACTAGTGCTGGTATGACGGCAACGTTTGAACCATCTGAAAATAGTTTACAGATTACAAACAGTAATCCAACAGTCACAAATGAAGAAAAAACTATGATAGTAAATTATAAGAAGGAAAATTAACAAGTCTAACCTAAGAGCTGGCACAAGGTCACTGGGAGATAACCCATCAGGTTCATCTTTTGTTCTAGGAAACAGAACAACCAGGATTTCGTTATTTCTTGCACACTCTGCCTCTCCGCAACCTGTGAGATATGCAAAAGAAACACGTACTAATTCTTACGCAAATTCCAAACAAAATTCAAGCATTATATCTCCAAGTAGCATTTTTTATCCTGTCTTTTTAGCTGAGCAGAAAAATCATGATATAAATAACAATTTGTACCATGCCCCGAATTTCTTAACAAAGATTATTCCTTCATAACAAAATGAAGAAAATCAAAATACAGTACTTGTTACATTGAGTTCTTGGAAACCTAGAGACAATAAAAACCAAAAGAAAGTCAAAATTCATAAGCATTTACTACACTTGTCTGTTGCGTGTACAAATTTACAATTCTAATCACAACAAAATCCACGATAATTAAAGCCCACAAAAAAGGAAAAAAAAAAAACTTACCGTCTATATTTCCATCTAAATTGTATTGTTTTTTCAAACTTTTGGCAATTCTTAATTAAACATGCTCTTCCATTCTTAATTTTCGTCTAAATTACTAAGACTCTAAAAGCTATGGGGTTCTGATTCTTTATGACCTTGTTCACTTTTTTTATTTTTTATGTATATTTTTTGTAATTCAAGCGTTTGAAGTCCAACGGTAAAGATTGTTGCCTTCCAGCCAATAAATCCAGGTTTGACTCCTGGCAGCTAGAACTTTAAACCCAAAATACTTCTACGTGAAATAAAAATAACCTTGTTTTTTTTTTTATCTCTCTCTCTTTCCTTAATTCTCCCTTCCCTTTTTCGAAGTGACGTGCTTTTTTTATTCACAGAAAATTTGGGCTCTGCTTCGTTTTATAATAGCAAAGAGAGAAAGCTAAAGCTCTTGATTTTTGAAAACTTTGTTGGCAGTAACCATATTATCAAATAAGGTTATAAGGTATTTATTTAATTAGACGTTAAAATTTTAAAAAATTAATTATTTTTTTATAAAAAATGACGATTATATAACATTACTCTTGTCTTCTTTTTTTTTTTTTTTACTTTTTTCATCAATTTATATTTTTTAATTTATTTAATTAGGTGTTAAAATTTTGAAAAATCAATTGTTATTTGTTTTTCAAATAAATTGACGATTATATAATATATAAGATTTTTTATTTATTTATACAATATGTTTTTAGATTTTAGAATAAATATAAACTACTTTTATTGTTGAAAATTGATTTTTTTTTTATAAAAATTCTCATCAAGTTAATTTTTATTCTTATTTTTTATAATTTTTTATTAATAAATATGACTTATTTTCTCTATGTATGAATTCGAATAAGTTTTTTTATACCTGATTTATTTGCTTAATTGTTATATAATCAAACTTTGAAAATTGAATATAGGTATTTTATTTTCTTATTTTTTATATAATCAAATTTTATATTTTAACTTAAATATATATTTTACTATTTAATTTTTTAAAAATATTTTTAATTTATTTTATACATTCTCACCTATTGAGTGCGGTCATGATGTATAAAAAATAATAACATTAGAATCATTGATTTCATTAGAAATCAACTATGCATCATCACACACAATACTAACTATTTGTTATAATTTTTTTAATATTTAAAATGATTTTTCCAAATAAAATAATTGAAATAATATTTTAGAATAAACATCTAATAATTCAAATACAATTTTGTAAACTAATATTATTCATTATTTTGTAAATAAATATATATAAATCAAATGTATATATTTTTAAAAAATAATCTTCTCATCATTAAAAAAGTTTCATTTGTTAATTTTCGTATAAGTTTTTAAATTAATTGTTGCTCTATTTTTTCGATACAATGTAATGAAAAAAATATTAAGATTTTTTTAAAAAAATTTTATATTAAAATTTTTGATTATAGATTTTATTTAAGAATAAATGTATAAGAAAGAACAAATCATGTTTTTTTTTACTTCAACATTTATTCAAAACACACACACACATACACAAACACAAAATTTTGATTAAAAATTATAAAATTAGATAAAATTTTACCTTTTATAATTAATTTAATATATCTTAATTAATCGATAGCATAGTATATGTTATCTAACTGAAATAAATATATTTAGTTTGGTACACAAGTATAGCACGAGAATCCGAACTCGTTCATATATCTAAAATTCATATTCACTTATTGTTAATATGCATAAAATTACTATTCACTTGATGTCAATTTAAGTCATTTTTTGTGTTGTTTTGCGTGTGTTTTTGGCCATTAATATACAAATTTAACACTTTTTTTCTATTTTTCGTCCATCATGTTGTAACGTTTTTTTCAATCCTTCGTTTTCATTTTTCTTTCATTTTCACGCAACACACACACACACACACACAATCTTTTTATATTTTAAAATTAACATATACTTATCTTATATTACTCTTATCATTTAAATTTCATTCTTTGAATTTATCATTTTTTATGAAAATTCTCATCTAATTAATAGTTTTTATATAAGATTTTATTTACCGATAAATATAATTTATTTTTCTCTATGTTTGAATTTTAGAATAAAATTTTGAACATGATTGTTTTTTCTTTCTAAAAAAATAAATTGGTATAATATATATCATGGATTCTTAAAAATTTTAAATGATAGTTGCGTATATATAAATATATAATTATTTTATTCTAAAAGTTAAAAAGTGTATTTCAAATATTTTATCTTAGTTCACTAGGTATAGTCAAGACATAAAAAAACTATTAAATTATTGATTTTATTAAAAATTAACTATACATTTTACAACATAATACAAATTATTTACTATGAATATTTTTTTAACATTATAGAACCAAATTATTTGAAATAATATAATTAAAATAAATTTTTAAAGGAAACAACCAATTATTCAAATATAGTTTTTATGCTAATTTTTTTGATTATTTTGTAAATAAATATATATAGATCTAATGCATATACTTGAAAAAAATAATCTTCTCACCAACATTAAATAAGAATAAATTTTTATTTTTTCATTGGTTAATTTTTATGCAAGTCTATACATTAATTGTAACTTTATTTTTTAAATGCATTCTTATAAAAAAATATAATTTTAAAATATTTTATTTTGAATTCTTAATTAATATAAGATTTAAATTATTACAAGTTTTTTATTTAAAAATCCCTGAATAAAGAAGAATAAGTCATGTTTTTTTAAGAAAACTTTTTATGAAAAATAAAAAGAATGGTAATAATTATATAAAAATAATGAAAAAATTATAAAAATTTTAAATGATTTTTTCTTATTCGCTCGTAGTGTTGCACGGATAATTTCAAAAATTAATCTTTTTATTAGCGTTAAAGAAGAATTTTTTTCATTTGTTAATTTTTGTAAAAGTATGTCCATTAAGTGTTACTTTAATTGTTTTAATACAATATTATGAAAATTACATTTTAAAGTTTTTTTTTTAATTCTTGATTAATATTTTAGTTAAAATTATTATTATTATTTTATTTTAAAATCAATTCATAAAGAATAATGATTTATATTTTTTGAAGCAAAAAATTTATTAAATTAATTAAATAAAAAATTATAATTAAAAAATTTAAAATTTAAAATGATTTTCTTTCTACCGAATCCGCAACGTAGCGCGGGAAAAAGACTAGTTTTCATCTAAAATTATATTTTTTTTCATAAAAAAAAGCGACATCATTTTATGAAAAAAATTAATGTTTTTTTTTTTTGGTTAAATAACCATGATAGAAGTCCTTAATTGAAAAATGAAAATATTCTAATGGTAAAATTGATTTAAAAAATAGCTTGTTTGGTAGTATATTTGATGCTTGCTCTCTCTCTATATATATATATATATATATATATATATATATAGAGAGAGAGAGAGAGAGAGAGAGAGAGAGAGAGAGAGAGAGATTTAGAGCCTAATGAATTATATATATATATATATATATATATATATATATATATATAATGACATAAATTCAGTTTTAAAGCCCTAATGAATTTTGGTCATATTGTTGATTTCTAAGTTCTAACCCATACCCACTGAGCCCAGTACCAGCCCATCAACATCCGTACCCACTTTCACTAAAAACAACAACTGCAAACACTATCTTCTACCTCATAGTCCTCCATTTCCAACCTCCATTTCATCTTTAACCCTTCTCTTAATATCCCAAACCCTAAACCCTAAGAACTCATCAATTTTTTCAAACCTTATTTCATTAAAATGGCTTCAATTAGCTTCAATAATAACTTCTTTGATAACTGGTTCAAGAAACCCCCAAATCCTATCCCTTCCATTAACCTCCTTTCTCTAATCTCCTTCAACAACGGCAAAACCCCAAATTTCTCTTCACTCTCCGTCTCAAACCCATTTAAGAAACCCAAAAAACCCGACCCGGATCCGACCCAAGAACAGCCGGGTTACTACAAACAAATGCTTGACCAGTTTTTCTGGGAATGTGAGAACCTACCTGATTATCGTCACACCCCAGAAGTCGAAAAGGTCCTAAACGAAGACCCGATTTTTGAAAAGAAAGAAAACCCGACCCCAGAAGAAATTGAGGAGAACGAGAAATGGTGGGCTGAGTTTCGGGCCAGCCCGGTTGTTAAGTTTTTGACCCGAGCTCATCAAATTGCTGATAAAATTAATGAGATGGAACTGAAAGCGAATTCAATTCCTTATCGTTGGGAAGATATGAAATTTTGGCAGGCATTGCCTCATGTAATTGGGCCAGACGGTAGGCCAATGCCGCGGAAGGCGATTATCACGAAGAAAGAGAGTGATGATAAGTTCTGGGATTTTGCTAGGCAGTTCTTTTTTGGGCTTTGGGGTTTTAGACAAAGACCTTATCCGCCTGGTCGACCCATTGATGTTGCTCAAGCTATTGGGTTTAAGCGCCTTGAGAAGAGATACTATGATTGTAAGTTGGGATTTAATTTGTTTGCAATATATTGTTTTCTTTAATACTGTTCGAGATTTTAGCAGTTTTTGTTCATTAATGCAGCTGTTTGTTTATATGATTGGTATGCATGTGTTATTAATAATGTTATGATGTTATGATTTGTTATTGTAGTTATTATGAAAACTGGTGGGTGGTACTATAAGGATCGGTTGGGACGAACACGAGGGCCAATGGAGCTGATACAACTGAAAACGGCTTGGGGTGGTGGGATAATCGATAAGGACACTTTTATTTGGGGTGATGACATGGATGAATGGGCACCAATACATATGATTTACGGCATGGAGCGTGCAATTGCCACTTGGGAAGGTCTGTCTAGTTTCATTTTTGCTTACTTTATTGTTAATTTTAAAGTAAATTGCTTGTAAGAGTGCAATTTTGAATGTAGTGGTAGTTTTTGGCAGCAGTAACTAGCTACTTAAGAGAATATATGAATTATCTATCTACTTATAAAGACAATGGTGTGTTAAGTTGGATAAAGTCTGAATGTGGGATCATTTACCTCCTCTTCTAAGAAGTTGAAAAATGGTCGTGGAAAGGTAAGCATTGGATGCTTAAGGTTAATTCCAAGATATCTGTCAAAATTTCTTGATTTGATGGTGTTTCACTTTGACAATATCAAAGGAGTTATGTGTTAAAGCTACAATGTGGAATTTTAGGGAGTCGAAGATCATCCTCCTTCGATTCTATGTGAAAGGTAGAGATTTTGGAGGTTGAAAGAAAGCGCTTGTGTGATTTTAACTATTAGTAGTTGGAATGGAGCAATTAAAAAGAGCCACTAATTATTACCTTATGCTCAAACCCCAAAGATGATTTTAGAAACACAGTTGACTCACGATTTACCATGTCATTGCCTTTTCTTTGATCTTCTAAGTAATACATCACCTCTACATTTCACATGAATTTCCTCTTAGCATATGTTTTGGTTCTCTCAGTCAGACTTGGTGCTGCGGCAACGGCTTTCCTTCACAAACTACAGAAAGGCATACCACCGTGGGTTCCTTTGAAGGGACGTGAACAGAAAACCTATAAGCAGATGCAACAAGAGGCTATAGAGAGCAAGAAACGAGACTTGGCTGTTTTGGAAGCTAATGGTGGTATTTGGCCAGGAGTTAAAATTCCCAGCCATGCTCTTTTTCTTTGGGCTAGTGGCCCTGAATTGACAAATATTTTGGAACAGGACCATATGCCTAACATATTCATTCCAAAAGATCTCAGGTACAATTGCATTAGCATTTGTTGCTTGATGATGAATTCCCCCATTTTTGGTTAAGAGCAAGGTTGTGTTGATGGTTCTCCATTATTTCACATATTAGCTTTATTTCACATTTTAGCTTGTGACTCCTTTGTGCTAATTGTAAAACAATACACAGCAGCTGATGGAGAATGAGTAAATCAACATCAACATTTGAAATAAGGAAATGGATGTAAATAAATGTATTAAATTTCCATCCCCATCCTCATGCAAGGCCTAATTTGCTCACCAAATTACATATGAATAGGGGTCTGCGTACCTGCTTTAGTTATGTGCCTAACTAAAGATGCAAAATGCACATTAGGTTGTAATTTATGTGCCCTTGTTGGTAATGGGTCTATTTCTAGGCTCATTGGTTCTTTCTAAGAATGAGCGAACCAATGAATTTTTTATACTCCCTTTTACCTTTTCCATCAATGTCAGATAAAACTTGTACATTTTCTGATTTCATTGTTATTCCACATTTTTTAACAAAAGTTATGAACTTTATCATTTGCCACATGACATCATAAAATGTTAAGACTTGTCTCCATGACATCAAAAGGAAATACTTGTTCTTGTCTGCATGTCAATATTTTCATCTGAAACGGTATATTGATGCCTGGAAATGTCCATCTCAAGTATTTCTCAGTTTGGTTGTTCTTGTGCTTCAGGCTTCAATTGGCAAAAGCTATCCCAGGCTTAAGACCATGGGAGGTTCTAAGTGTTGAGCAAGCGATGGATCAAATAACATATAATGGACAGTGGTACCGTGAACCTCTTGGTTCATACACGACAGGACCTCCGTACATCAGACATTGGAACAAGGATGTTAAGGTATGGTTTTGCTTCCAGTTTTTCTACTCAAGTTTTTTTCTTGCTGGAGGTTGGATGTGTGGATGGCCTTCTAATTACCTTGGATAAACTCATCTGGTGAAATAAAATATTACTGTAAGACAAGATTGGCATGTTTGATGAAATTAAGACACTAAAACTGAAATCACCACTAATGAACGGCAAAGATTTTCAAAGATCAGTCTTTGCATGTAGTCCCAACCTGTTGTTAGTTTTGTTTAGATCCTCTTCTATTACCTTGTATCTGTTATGGGCTAGTTAATTCTTACGCCGCTATACACTTATTATGCCTGCAGAGAATACTTCGGATTTTCTACACTCTTAGCACCCGGGTTTACAGCAAATTACAGCGCACGATTCCTGGTATTGATACCATAATGGAGAAAGTCCACGAAGATGCTGAAACTAGGAGAGCCAGACGTAAGCATAAAAGGGAGACACAATTAAAGGCTGAGCAGGAGGAAGCCTTATATGGTCGAGCTAGGACTGATCCATAGCACACTAATTAAGAAGTTTGATTGAGCATGATATTGAGAGCATCTGCTTATGTATTGGACGTTTGACAGATTCCTATATTAGTCAAAAAGCATATACTCAGCAGGGGCAAATGGTAGAGTTTGTTTTAGTGGATCTGCTTCCTGTGGGTGAGACTTGAGAGAAAGAGCGAGTAGGCAATGAAAATCTTTTTTGCATTTGCTCTCTTGTTACTTAAAAATTTTGCCGGAGGAGTTCGGATTTGTGGATGTGTAAAAATGGTCTTCCACAGCTGGTATGATCTAATTTGCCCAATGCTATGTCAGTGAAAAACATTTTCAAGGGTTTGACATAATGCTTGGTTGGAAGTATAGAGAAATGAGATCAAACCAAATAAAGTATGCTCAATTCTTCACGCTTTCTTTCTTCTTTTTCCTCTCTAAAATTCTTTCATGGATCGAAAAGTGTTTTAATGTTTATTGACTATCCATCCATCCAAACAAAGTTGTTGCCTTCTTTTTTCCTAAATCATTGTCTTTCCAGCATAAGAAATATGATGTAGGCATGAACCCCCCTTGTTCTTTGTCCGTTTTTCCGGGAGGAGGTATTCAGGTTCAGGGCAACGAAACCTGAACATTTTACTCGAGGCAAAAACCGTGAAACTGAAAACAGGAGAATATTTCCACTGGCCCCGACAAAAATCATCAAGATTACTACCTCGTAAGTCTCCAAAGAGATGCCACGTGTTTACTACCGATTGCAGTGTACTAGCTTCATCAGACAGCAGCTATGACGTGTGAAAAACCATAGCTGCTTTATTAAACAACTCCTAGGACGAGGACGTTTGTCCCCAGAGCCCGTGCATAATGAATCAGTCGGTTTGCACTTGGTATTAGAGATGAGCTGACAGTGAGTTGAGGGACCAATTAAACCGAGAAAAAAAGAGGAAAATGGAAGATGGCGTGACAGAAGCTGAAAGCTTGTTGCATCCTAAAGAGGAAGATGATGAAAAGAAAGATAATCATCAAGAAAGTGGAAAAGATAGGCCAGGTGGGTCATTAATAAACCATTTCTTCTCTAACTTGGTCTCTAAAGGGGAGGCTGATCCTGAAGAAACAGAAGGTAAAGAAGAAGACAATGAAGAGAAGGGAGGTGGACTATTGGACAGTATACTCTCCAACTTGGTTCCTCCTTCGAGTAAAAAAGAAGGTAAAGAAGAAGAGCATGAAGTTTCCCAAGTTAGAGATGGTGGAGGAACAAGAGAAGGTCAAGCAACAAAAAAACAGAAGCTAACAACAGTAGTTGATGAAGAAAATGAACAAGTGAAGGCTGAAGAGAGGGGTGGTGGAGGTTTCATTGATCACATTGTTTCCCACTTTCCTACGTCTCTTCCAGGTTTGCTCTTTTCACCTCCCAATCATTTTATGGCCAATTTATTTCACCTTTTTTTTTTCCCCCGTTTCTACTTAGTTTTTGATGAATTGGGTGTGGGTTATGAGTCATAGTAGTTTTTGATGGAGATGACAGCGGAAAAAAAATTAGGATCAGGACTTGACATTTATCAACAGTTGATTTCATTAATTTTGTTTAGGAGAAGTAAGAAATGAACATTTTCAAGCTTGTGAATACTAATTAATTAGCATTTTCCATTCTGTGGTTTTCAAAAAACAGATGATGCTGCTCCAACAACTGACGAAGCCTCCATCCTCATTCACTCCATCATCCATGATTAAGGAGAATGAGCTTATTATAACCATGGAGGGTTTCTGTCACTTTGATATATTTCCTAGTAATTTTTTTTTTCTTTCCTTTAGATGCTTTTCTCATTGTATGATTTGTTTCTGCTTGTTCATGTGACTTTGATTCCGGCTTTTTCTTGTTCAGGAAAATGAAAAAAAAAAAATCATTTTAATATTTCTTCTCTCCAAATGGTAGCAAATAATAGTCCATCGGGTGAAGATGGAAAAATGGGGCTTTGACGTGGTGAAGGTCTCAATGTCCATAGATTTTGTGTTCTCATTTCTGATTATTATTTCTAATGATCGTATCTTTGGGGGTTTGAGAAAGATAATCAAGATCAAACATAAGACAAGCAATAGTTATTTAGGAGTTGCTTGCTCCCGATTTGAGAGAAGGGAAAAGAAGAGATAGGAAGACAAGGATCGATGCTACACGGAAGAAAAAAAGGCTAATTACAACTTTGTTAAACGCAATCAAAACTCAAACATGTCGTCAGGATCTCATTTAAAAAAAAAAACCGATCTCATGCCAATTGTGCATATTTTGAGTTACTATATACTATCATCACGATTCTAAGCGAAGACATCCAATTCTCTTATTGCAAAAACACACAAACAGCATAATGTAAAAGCCCAAGCTTCCTATGTATGTCAATTTAAAATTAGCGGTTTTGCGGTTTTTTTAGTGAAGAGAGAGGAGGAGGAAGAAGATTGAGGAGTCAGTCATAGTGACTCCAGCGATGGAGGAGGAGGAGAGGGTGGGGGGTGGGTGGGGTTGTGTTGGAGGGAGAGAGAAGGGGAGAAGAAGAATGACGTGTGTTTTCGGTGGTGGAGAGAGAGTGGGAAAAAAACAATGAAAAAAATAAAAATAAAAATACATTTGGATACGTGTCAGCAGATTATATCGGTTTTCAAATGGCAAACAAATTCAAAGGAGAGGTTGGAAAGAGAAACTAGCTACCATGATTTCCTCTCTGGAAGCTATATTCCGACATTTGCAAAACCATGTTTCTCAAAACTCGATTATTCACCATGGTAATTTACAAGCAACAAATTCCAAACGTGTCTGCTAACGATCCTGTAAGAAAAAAGAAAAAGAATGTGATAGCAACATTGGATTCTCTTTGAAACATAATTTCATGCATTTGTTTTAGTAGGGTAGTTTGTTTGCTTTTGAGAAAGGGGGTGGGTGGGTGGAAGGAGGTTATAGGTTCCAACTTCTTATTTACAATAGTATAAGGTAACAGATGATGTCCTTTGTAAGGATAAGGAAAAAAAAAAATTAATGTAACACAGACATGATGAAATTATGGTTATTGCCGATTGAAGCAAAATTATTTTGAAACATATCTTTATTTAATGAGAGTATTAACACTAGTGGGTTGAGAACACTTTTGGTAACTCCTTTGATAATCGTTGGATCGGTTCTGTCTATCTTGAATTTTTTTTCAAATAAGATGATAGATTGAAAGTGAGCTATAACTCTTTCATTTAATGCTGGTGAATGAGACCCAAAAATAGTCATGTATGCTAAATATATCATTAATTATTTATAACTTTGCATTTCAATTTGCATATGACATGGCAGCTGATAAGGTTGTAATCACAAAGAAAATGTTTATTCCAAGCAGTTTTAGGAATTTCACCACACAAACCTTGATGCTCAATGACAAGCCATTGGTTCTAGAGAACATTAAGCTTTTTAATGGACAAAACAACAAGTTAGAATAGCATATCTAGAAGGTAACACAAAGGGATGGTTTTGATGCGAAAAAAAATGACAAAACAAGATGGTTTCAATGCGAAATGAATGGTTAATTTCCATATAATTTGCTTTAATTCAGCTAAGAACTTCGACTACTTAAAAGAACTTGGTAAATGTGCTAAGTCAGACATGATAATTTTTTGTAGGAAAAAAAAAAAAAACTTAATGTCCATGTGCAATATCTACTTGAAAAAAAAAAAAACTCTCTTGAAGTTTGTAATGACTATTATAACTCTATATTAATCAACAAGCTTAAATATTTATTACTATAATCATTGACTCGTTATTGAGAAACATAGATTATAAGGTGATGTTCCTCTTATGGCTAACAACAATTACATTTTACCAAGTGCAATCTTTTTAACTACAACAACATACAAAAATGATGTATAAGATTATAAATATTTGAGTAAGGAAAAGAGTAGATTAATCAAATTACTAAAGAAATAACCCAATGTAAAAATGTTATTGAAATCTCAAATCCAAAGCAACCATAGATAGAACCAAAGAAACGCATTTCCTTCAACAATTATCAAGTTAAGAAGTGAAATGACAAAACATACTAAGAATTGTCAAGACAAATTAAAACATCGAATGAGTGGTATCGGAAGTGTTAGAAAAGAGAACCGACCACCATAACTTTGCTATTTGGTTCGATATGGACAAAACCACATAGTGGTATCCTCTCCTTACGTAACAATGTTAGCTTCCATGGCTGAATGAGCGATTAAGAGAGGAAGAAAAATTGCAAAGAGGAAAAGAGAAGGAAGAAAACGGAAGAAAGAGAAAATTTGGTAAGAGTTGTTATAACTATATATCAACTTGTTTATTACATATTCCTAATAGTATTTATACTAAGTTAGTTAAAGATAAAACATAATTAGTATAAACTATCTCTCAAACTAACTTAATACTAATATATGCACGTTATATATATGTATGTTACTCCCCTTCAATGTCGGTATGGATGTTATTCAAGTTCATTTTACTAATCAAATCATGGAAGATTTCAAGTTGTAAAGCCTTGATAAAAATATCAATAATTTATTGATCAATGAGCAAGAAATGAGGTTGAATAACACCAAAAATCACTTTCTCATGAATGAACCAACAATCCATTTCAATGTGTTTGGTTTTTTCATGGTAAACTGGATTCCTATATAGATGCAAAGTAGATTGATTATCGCAGAATAACAAGACCGACATAGGATGTGGGATGTCCAAATCTTGTAACAAAAATAGCGACCACATGATTTCATATTTAATAGTCGTCATAGCCTTATCTTCTACTTCGTACTAGTATGAGCCACCAAACTCGCTTTTTAGATTTCCGACTAACCAAAGAGTCAATAAAAAATACACAAAATCCAGAAATTGATTTTCTAATTTCAAGACAACCAGCCCAATCACTATTCAAGAAGGATCTTAATTGCAGTGAAGGCTTGATTGAAAACAACAATCCTTATCCCGGAGCACCCTTTAGATATCCGAGAACTTTATAAGCAGCTTGTAAATGGATTAAATATGGTTTGTCCATGAATTGAACAAACACATAAACCGTATAACAAATGTTAAGCCTACTAAAAGTTAAATATAAAAGCTTTCCCACTAGCTATCTATACTTAGTATAATCATTCAAAATGTCTTCTAAAGTATGTGATAGCTTCGCTTATAATGCATGAGAGTAGACACTAGTTTGGAATCAAAGAACCCATATTCATCCAATAACTCCAAAACATATTTTCTCCAACAAATAGCAATGCCTTGTTATGACCTTGCAACTTCAATGCCTAAGAAATACTTAAGTGGACCAAGATCCTCAAGCTTGAATTTCTTATCAAGAAACTATTTAAGATCAACTATATCATCATCACAACTCGCTAACTATCATAATATCATCCATATAAATCAGCAAAGTAAGAAAATTATATGAAGAAATGTGCATTGTAAACAAGGAATAATCTTCTTTGGATTGTTAAAAATCATATTCAATCAAAACTACAGCAAACTTAGCATTCCATTACCAAAAAAGCTTGTTTTAAACCATACAAGAATTTGTGTAACTTGTAAATCATCTTTTGTGAGTTATTCGGTTTATGTAAATTGCCGTCATACTCCCCCTTAAAATGGTAACTAGGAGGCAAATCCATAAACACTATCTCATCCGAATCACCATATAAGAAAGCATTATTAATATTCGACTAAAAGAGGTACCATCCTTTAATGGCGACCAAGGCAAAAAATAATCCGATTGTGGTATGCTTGGCAACAGGACTAAATGTCTCCCGAAAATCAAACCCCTCAACTTGACTATACCCTTTAGCCATAAGCTTGACCTTATATCTTTCAATAGAACCATCTCGCCTTGATTTTAACCTTGTAAACCCATATACAACCCGGTGTATGATGACCCTCGTGGAAAGGAACTACGGACTAAATATTGTTTTCCTCAAGAGCTAGTAAGTCAACATTTGTAGCTTCTTTCTAATGGTCAAATTTCACGACTTGTGAGTAAGTGTTAGGTTCAAATGTATATGTTAAGGAAATAGCGAATACGATATGGGAATGAGAAAGTTGAGAAGCAAATAAGTAAAGACCAGTAGGATAGGGAGTGAAATATAAAAGATTACTACGAGAAAGAGATTTAAAAAGAAGAGAATAAAAATAAGCTTCTAAATATGTAAGAAGCTTAGTAGAGTGAGTACATTGTCCGAGAGGTAATGAAGATGACATAATAGCTGAATGAGAAGACTCTTGATGAATAAACATAGGAAAGTTAGAGAAAAAAAGAAGAAGGCAAAAATAGACTTAGTGTGAAAAAATTTAGTAGGAATATCAATGAGTGTAAGAGGAACTTGTGTAGGAAAGATAAAATAAAAAGGTTGAATATCCATAAAATCAAACATGTTAGATATGAAGGAAGAAAGAGATATGGAAAACAAATTATGAGGAAACAGAAAGACGTAAAGGAAACACTATCTCATGAAAAATGACATCTCTAGAGATAAACTTTATGGGTAAGAAGATCAAAAACTCTATAACCTTTCATGTTATGAGGATAACCAAGAAACATAGAAGGAGTAGCTATAGGATGAAATTTCTTCGATGCGAAACAAGGGTAGAAACAAAACACAAAGAGCCAAAAATCTTCAAAAGATTATAAAGAGGTGGTGTCTTGAACAATAGCTTATAAAGTGTGAATTTGTTTAAGGAATGAGATGGAATTCTA